ATTGTAAAAGTTAAGATACACGAAACGCTTAACCAAATAGAAGCCCCTTTTATACTTTGGAGCTTTCAGTGGATTCTACTCGTTCATTAACGTAAATGCGGGCTATAACTCACGTACAATCTCGCGATCTCATCGAAATTATATCTCGCTTAACTTTTGTCGTATATAGCACTCGTATTGCACGCATTCAGTCCATTGAGTTCTAAAAATATACACACACAGAAACACACAAAAACGATATATCATCGAGTTTAGCTCTCGTGCACAGGGTATACAACATTTACGTATATGTACATCAATCGTATCTATAAAAAGCTCCGGCGTGTGTGTACTTATCGGAACGTTGGTACACTGCACATAATATTAGCGAACTTTAGCCGATATCGATTCCCGCTAAACAGAGAGACAGAGAGAGGAGTCGATGATATTGGAGAGAGAGAGAGACGACTATAGAACGAGTATCACGAGACGTCACGTCGCATTATTATTATCATCATTATTATTATATATATACAGCTAACAATGAAAATCGTCGTCTCTCTCAGTCGCGCGGAGGAAACGTCCTTGGCACTTGGTCGCTACATTACACATTATTATACTGGGTTCGCTATATGTAGCCGCCACCGCGTGCGCCGACTTCCCGTTAGATCGAACGCGTCACGCGCGCGTCTGCGACTGTCTGTCGGTCCGCGTGTATATAACACAGCACAGCTGCTGCTGCTGCTGCTGCGGCTGTATCATCGCTTTCAACGCGCGACGTCGTACACCTATATACGTAATGCACGATTGTCGCGAATGATTGATAAATATAATACGGAATAGATTTATAAACAAAGCCGAAATTCGAACTCAGGGGATAGGAGTGTGATACACGAAACAATAACGATCGAAGCTCACGCGCGCCGATGTATGTATATAAACGAGCCGATCGTGCCCGATGGCGGATAACGGCGCGCGACATTGACTTCGCGCGTGCACCGAAGTATACATAGTATAGCTCTCCTGCAATGTTTCGATGTCAAAGTCATTTCACGTTTTTGTTTTTCGTTTTTTATCGTGGCACAAGGATTCGATTTGTAATCCGTTGCGTGCCGCGTACGCGTGTCAAACGCTAGGCCACGCGATCTTTTTTTTTTTTTTTCATTATATTTTTATTTCAATTATACGTTGACAAATTTGCCTCTATCTGTAACGCGGAGGTCGATAATACGTGTGAATTACGGAGCATAATATTATAATATGTATATTTTTGTACAATATATCTATCGTCGAGCTACAAGGTAAAGGTAACGCTCGATTCGTCGATTGATTGTTTCTTTTTTTTCATTTTCCATACATATATTCGCGCGTCGATCGACAGCTGCAGTATTTTTTTTTTTTTTTTTTATATTATTATACGTAAACACAGCAGCAGCAGCAGTCACGATCGCGCGCAACAACAACAAAAAAAAAAAAAAACACGGTATTTCTTTTTTCTTCTTCTGCCGCTGCTCGTGCCTTTAATATTGCGCAACGAGGACAATTACACGTTATACATATATATGTCGTGTATACATACACACATACATCACGAAAATTGCCAAAGACTTTTGCGCGTGTGTGCACAACGCGATCGCGCGCGTGTTTATTAAGCCACTCGGCCGAAATATTATATATATTAACAACGTTTCTCTAGCTCTGTCAATTACGGTCGTTTGCCCACGAGAACGCGTCGTTTTCTGCGTGTATCATTATGCGGGGAGGGAAATAATATTCAATGTTTCATTGTACGATGTATAATGTTGCGTTGGGTACGAGTGTACTCGTACGTAGTATAATAGGACCTATATACAATGTGCTCGATCATTGAGTCATTTGATTCACCTTTTTTTACATCCGTGCGATTTCGTCCCAACGTGTCTCTCTATTCTATATACGCATTACAATTGAGATTCTCTCGTCGCTTCGAGGCACTGCACGAGCTCAACAACGTTTCGAGCTATGTACAAGCACGATGAGTTTGCTTTCTAATGCGTAGCAAATACGCCGCTCGTCTAAGCGATTCGAAGTTCACCGTAATAAGGACGACGTTATATATATTTTACGTTTCGCGCTGGTTCTTTTTGTTCGTGCCCTCGGGGCACTGCCGCCGCCGCCGCTTCGTAATTTTCCTCATTTCGTCCGCTCTCGAGTGCTCGCGAATCTCAAATTGCGAAATCGACTCTTCGCGCGATATCGGAGTGCTACGTTGACTTTTCGCGTTTCGTACAGAGCGTAATTGATGAACGAGCGAGAAACGAACGATTTTATACCAATTACGAAATTTCGTCGAATGAAGACGTAGCAAAAGTTCTCTCGTTTTCTATTTTTTTTTGTCTCTTTATTCTCTGTAAAACACGTGTTTACGTACGTTTACGATGACGATGATTCGTTGCTAATCGTAATCGACGAAAGTTCCGAACGATCGATTTTAATCCGTTCGATAAGTTCGCGGCGGCGGCGGCAGGAATCGCGAGCGCATAACAATAATCGCGAGTATATCTCCCGATGACTAATGAATCTAAAAGCGGAGATGTCTCGATCGATGGTAATCTCTCTCGGTTTCGCGGGCGAGATTTCATACACGCGTGCACGTATTATCGGAATCCGTTGATTCAGCCGTGTGCGTATATAACTCGAGGAATTTACCCGAAAGGTACTCACCTTCGCACTTTGGCCGCATCTTTAACGACGAGTACGTGGAATTTACCTTGCCATCGTCTTACGGCAATATATTATACATACGAGAAGCTCATCGAAGATGAGCAGAGATGTATGCATGTATGGAGTGACGTCACGGGTATTATTACGCGCATTTTCGCACTACTGTGCTCGTATACGTCACGATGGCGCGCTGTCTCTACGAAATCGATAAAACCGTTTCTTCTTTTTTTTTTCCTCCTTCTTCTTCGGCGATCTTGAGAATTTAAACGAGGTTCAGTAGTCTCGCACCACCCTCGGAACGCCACGTTTATCGTTGACGTTCTTTACATCGATTTTGCTCTCTTCCACTCGATATGCGATGCATCGATCGTGTAATCAATTCTATACTATAATAATATTAGCCGCGTCGTCCATGGGTAATCCGCGCGCGTAGGCAGCGAGCAAAAAAAAAAGTATATGAATCTCGCGCGTGGGCTCTCGATGAATTTTACAATCGAATGAAACTGAAAGGAGAGAGAGACAGAGAGACAGAGAGAAAAAAAAGTGAGACACTAATTTACGTTATCATTCATAATAAGACCCCCAACGTGAACTTTCGCTCTCCACACCAGAGGCTGCATATTATAGTACACGTACTCTTGAATCAACTCTCGCCGCGCTGAGAAAAAAAAATAGAATATACACACGTGTATAAATATACACGCGGATTGCCTTGCATTATGTACCCGCGTATACCCACGTGGTTGGGTATAAGCTAGTGACCTGGAAAAAAAAAACTGGATAAGAGACTCTATTTCCTCTCCGGAGCTTATTGTCGGAGATAAATTGGATGAGAAACATTTTTTCACATCTCGCTGGAACTGTGTTTTTTTTTGTTATTGTTTTTTTTTCGCCTTCTCTTTGTCGTATCAGCCGCGATCCATCTCGTGTCTAATTCCACTTTTTTGATCTCTGTATATACGCGTTGTGTGCATATACTTTCCGATGGCGTAAATGGGGATAAAAGTCTTTTAACCGCAATAATATTTCGCCCGTTAATGGCGATAACGAAAATCCTGTTAATTCGTTCGGCTGCTCTATAGTCTTTGCTCTCCGGCTTTGTATAAATATTCTCATTGTTATTCGAGGGGCAGAGCCGCCTTTATTATTCCTCGTTGTGTATTGTACACGCGACGAGAGGCATTAACAATCGTTCGTGTATATATATAATGTACACTCGGGCAAACGGTTTGATAATTAGCATAACGATTTATCGGACTCGCGTTTTCGATTACGTATACACGTACTCTCTTAGCCTAATTAGCCAAGCGTATATGTTATTGTACATCGCGTGCCGTTTCTAAATTCGATAGTCTCTCGATTTCTCATTAATCGATTCTAGTGTGTGTGTTTGCTCGTTTGTTTACGAAACGCAGCGAGTACATAACTTCGCGAAGAAAAAAATAAATAAAAAGAACAGACTCGTGGAGTGTATTATAAAGTTGCACCGCGGTACTACTGCTCATCGGCGAAGGAGCCTCGAGAGACCGAAAAATCGATGAGAACGAAGGAGACGAGGCCGCGGGAGTAGAGACGCGCGAGAAGAATATTAATTGGGAAAAAATGACGTTTGCATCGGAGTTTGTAAACGCGCCGCAGCGGCAGCTGCCAGTCGATTCGCATTTTTCTCTCATATTGAAAAATTACTTTTTGCCGTACGCACGACGCTTTTCTCTCTCGACTCGACGTAGCGAAGAAATTACTAGAGAAAGAGAAAAAAAAAGAACGAGCTCGTTCGCAGCCAGAAGCGGGAGGGAAGGAGAAACAAAAGACGTTTTGTCGTGTTCGAGCGCATTTTAACTCCGAGTAAGCACGCATTAATTAAATCGCCGAGGGCCAACCAGCTCTACTTTTCCTTCGCGGCGGCAGTCGTGTATTATTATTTTTCCATTGGCCCCCCCAAGGGCTTCTTTCTCTTGACTTTTCAACTACGAAAAGAATTCCGACTGCTCGTTTGCGCGAGCGTGTACATATTGTATTCGTAATAATAAATCCGCACGAGTCAAAAAAGTCGAAAGCTCGTTTTGAGGGAAAGAGAGAGAAAGAAAAGAAGCTCTCTTGAACGAGTGTGCGTCGCTGCGCGACTTGGAAATGCTTAAAAAATTTATACGAATCGTCGTCGCGTGACCATCGCGCGATGCACTTTGGATAGTTGCCAAAAAAATTCTTTTTTTTTTTCCTTTTTTTCTTCTACCCTCTTTTACTACTGCGATATTGATTGTAAAAAATATTACGACAGCCGAATAATGTGTACACGTTTGTCTTTTCTTTTGTTACAGGGAGGAAGTGCGAAATCACACGGTCAGATGGAACGCGACTTTCAAGTTTCTCTGCAAAATGAGTGCCAATGCGTCGACGGGCGTACTAGATCCCTGTACATTAAGAATATCCGTTAGAAAGGTAAGAGAGAAACATTTATTTTTGTTAGAGTCCGAAAAGAAGCACGATTTAGAAAATTGAGGGGTACGCGCGACCGCGTGTATCCGAACGAAAAGACGAGAAAAGAGAGAAAAAAAAAAGTATTTCAAGATTTCGGTGACCTACTTGCAGCGCTATAGAGTTGCGTAACTTTATCAAGTCCGCGACTACGACGACGACGCTTTTTTCACTCTCTTTCTCTTTCGTCAATTTAATCCAATGTGTGCGACTTTAACTCGATTTTTTTTTCTTTTCCCCCTTATACTTGAAACAATTAAATCGAGAGGGAAAGATGTGTGCCGCGATTTTGCTGCTTTTCTTTTTTGTCTCGTTTTTATCAATCAAGAAAATTAATTTGTACTTTATACTGTTGAAAAAATCTTTTGTTTTAGTGGAAAATCACATTAAAATTAAAGTGACTTATACTGAATTTAAAAAAAAAAACTATTAGTGGCACTGATAATTAATTTATCAGTTCTGATTTTTTTTGCATAAATTACACGATAAATATATGAAAATGCAGTGACATACATTAATTTTAAAGAAAAAATAAATAACAAAAGGTTAAACTCCTTACCTACATTTGACCATTGCGATTGAAATTGCTGAAAAAATTCACAAAAATGTAATCACATTTAAAGCCAGAATTTACCGCCAGATGGCGAGTACCTATATCGTGCAAATCTGCAAGTGGGCAAAGTTCAAATGAGTGTATAAGTCCAAGCAGGTGGTTTTCAATCGATTAATCTAATTTCGATGAAATTGTATAAATTTGTCTGACCGTGTCTCACACTCTGCTCAGGAATCGAAGGGAGGCAGGTCCTTCCAGAAGCTCGGCTTCAGCGACCTGAATCTTGCCGAGTTCGCGGGGGCTGGCCTCTGCCGCGACAAGCGCCTGCTCGAGGGCTACGACACGAGGCACCGCCAGGACAACTCCGTGCTCAAGTTCACCATCAAGATGAACATGCTGTCGGGCGACATTCTCTTCAAAGTGTGAGTGTTATATAACAACACAGTCTTTACGAGACCGACGACAAAAAAAAAACAAAAAATATAATCGTTGGCCCTCTCTCGCATTATTATAGACCGTCGCCGTCGTTGAAGCAGACCGCCCTGATACCGGGCGAGGACAAGGGCGGCGTCGTCTCGTCCCAGGAGAAGCTCGCCGACGCCAATTCCGTCGCGGTGGTGGTGGCCGGCTCCGTGGTGGGCGATCGAGCCCGCGAGGACTACGTGTCGACGGGCTCGCTCGCCGGCAGCATAGCCAGCACCAGCAGCGGCTTCGGCAGTCTGCCCAAGAAGAGGCCCGCCCTGTTCGCCTCGGAGCTGCTCAGCGGCGTCACCGGTGGCAGTCACGAGAGCAACGACATCGTCGCCCTGAACGAGATCAACGTCGCGCTCACGAGTCAGCAGCAGCAGTTGGAGCTACAGCTGATACAGCAGCAGCAGCAAAACGACGCGACCAGTCAACAGCAACAGCAGCACACGGAGTCGGGACACTCGAGGAACAGCAGCAATACCAGTCAGCTGAGCAAGGGTTCGGGTTATGGATCGTTGAACTCGCACAGCCAACACAGCCGACAGAGCAGCAGCGGCGATAGCGGCCACATCAGGTGAGTTGGCGGGATTTTTTTTAACGTAATTATTATCATGATAATTCGACGATGATACATAACGGCCATGTGTATTACATAATTATGTGCATTTTAATTGCGAAAAGACCCGAAAGAGAGAAAGTTATATGTATAGGTTCATTTACTCATTGCTCATTATACGAACGATTCGCGTGCGGTTAAATTAATTGTCGCGATGATTGACATATGCAACATTACTTATTATGTACTTCGATCGGCAAAACAAACCTCGAATATCAAAACTCAGAGCGGCAGTTTTCTATTTTTTACATTAAAAAACCTCGGGAAGTCGAGCCTCTTCTTTTTTTCTCTCTTTTTCTTTTCTGTGATTTTTTTTTATACTTCGCTCGATCGATGCGTGGAAACCGAATGCACCTTTTGTATATACGCGTCATTTTTTCTCCTAAGGTTCGATCAAAGTAAAATAAAGTCAAGTTATACTCGCGATACTCATCTCATCTCACGCATCTTTTCATGAAAAATTCATCAATTCAGAAGAAAATAAGACAACAATTATTGCATCTTTACTACATTCACAACACCAAGTTATATATAAAATACTGCAATGCCATAATGATGATTATGAATGATCAATGTCTTTTTTCTCCTCTTTGTTTTCTTTCACTTTTCTCTCTCTCTCTCTCTTTCTCTCTATGCACAGCATGAAAGTATCTACAATTTCTCTATCTTCGATTGCTATTTTACTCTTTTATTATTATTGTTGTTATCGTTGTTGCTGTTTTTACTATAATTATCACCCGTTCTTTTTTTTTTGTAAAACTAAGTAGGATTGACACTTTTCTCCATTATTGATATGGCTGTAAAAAAGCGTGTGCGCTCGTTGCTCTCTTTTGTTCGCGCCAGAAACTGTAAAAGCACTGCCCGATGAGTTTAATGATTTATTTATTATCTTTATTATTTTCATTCATCGATGTTGCATTTCTTAGATCGTTGTCGATTGTGTTTTTTTTTTTTACTTTCTGTTACAATTTGTTACTTGATTGTTTGTTAGAAATATTTGTACGTAAGTTAGCTCGTAGACTCTTTGATAAAAATGATAAAATCGAACGAAAACGGAATCGAAAGAGTAATCGCCGACGAAGAGAAGAAGCTTTGCGACGAGACAAGACCACGAAAAAGAAAAACAAAAATCAAAACAACGCAACCCGCGCGATCGCGCCGGGGTCAATTAATTGTAGATCGCCGTCGTGGCCTGTGTGGGCGCCGCGTCTACCTACCGTCGTCCAGAACCAGCAGCAGCAGCAGCAGACTAATGGCTCAGCCGAAGCAGCAGCAGCAGAATCGGCTACTCAACGAACCGAGCCGAGCATCAATAATAATCCGACGATCGCGAGCCTCATCAACGGCAGCAAACAGTCGTCGGTGGTCATCACGCCGCCGACGCCTAATCGCTCGATCGTCGATCATCTGGATCGGCTGACGATATCGCCGCCCTCGCCGCTGAATCTGTTGTCGCGGCGCGTCACCACGACGACGTCGACGTCGACGACGCCTCTGAGCTCTCGTTACGGCAAAAGCAACGGCACGTCGACCACGTCGACCACCGCTGCTACGGACAATAATAAAGAAACGACGATATTTCGGGTGCCGCCGAACGGCATGAGCGTGGCCAGGTCGACGGCGACGCAGCAGCGCCGTTGGCGCGCCGCGGTCAACGTGTCCAAGACCTGCGACTGCATCGAGGGCTTCCTGAAGCCGACGAGAAAGAGCAGCAACTCGCCGCCGCTGCTGGCGCCGAGGCAGCTCGCCGAGCAGGCCCGAGCCGTGTCGTCGCCGGTGCCGCTCCCGGCCGCCGAGCAGTTTAATCGAAGCTTGCCGATCTCGATGATGATGACGGGCGCCGCCAAGACGATCGTTGCTGGTGGTGGTGGTGTAGCCACGAGTAGCAGCAGGTAAGTTCGTGTGCGCGGAGGAGGATGAGAGGTGCCAAACAAAAACTACTACTACTACTACTATGGAGAATCTCTCTGCATATTATACAAAAAGGGGCCAAGAGGACTTTATCTCTATATCTCTCACTCGCTATACTCTATCACCTGTGTATACAGCTTCGAAAACTTTACATCTAACTATTTTATAAATACTCGTAGTGCTACATCTGTTTTTATACATTACTTATATTATAATATATTTATTACATCGTTTAAAGAATGCTTTTTACCTGCTACCATAGGCTCATAGTGTATATTTCTCGATAGTCCAAACTGCTACTAGTTTCTTTTTTGTATGTATATTTTCTCAACGATTTGTAATAATAGTAATAGTGTCGATGGCTTGAGCATGCGCTGTGTTATGGTTTGCAGTCGCGAACAAATTCTCGTAGAAAAGAAGCGACAAATTTTAAAAGCAACCGAATGAATAAAAATCTCGAGTGCATTGTGAATGTTATGTCGATCTCTTTTGGAGACAAATTCATCATAAAGACACAATCATTTATCAATCGTATACCGTCATCCAAAGCTTGCAATTCACAACGAGACATGATATACATAAGCATACTCGACAAGCGCAAACTTCATTAAACCCAAAATCACTCGATCGCGATGACGATGATGATGATGTATCGAAAGAAAAGAGAGAAAAAAAAAGAAACAGTTCACAACGTGAAAAAAAATCATACCGACCAGTGCGAAGCTCGAGATCGCCACGTGCGGAAATCGATGAAGATTGTCGCGAGTTCTTGGCACTGTAACGCGACTACCTACTGCACCGCACACACACGCACACACACACATACACTCGCACACCTTTGGCTCGATCTAGCGAATGCATCGTGTAATATGGGAGATGCATCAATGCTAGTCATCATAATAATAATAACAACAGTCGATGGCGTCATTGCGCCGTATAGTGCACGCATATATACCGCCTCGCCTCGTAACTTCCTTGATAGGCATGTACTATGCGGCATTATGTGCACGCGTGGATATACGTATGCAATATATATGCATAGTTTGGTGCAGTCCCGGGCGCTCGTTCGATAATTAATAACACTGCGATGCGCGGAGACGAAGGATAAAGAAGAAAAAGAAATTAATTTTAACGCGTGATCGAGCGCATATTATACAGGACATTTTTACGAACGAAACAAAAATATCGCTAAAAAAAAAAGAAACGATATTCGAACTTTGTCGCGATGCATGAGAATGTGGCCATTACCATGCGCGAGTGGGCTTTTATCTAATCGGCGTATTATACTTTCGCGCGCCGCAATTCATCATCGATAAGGCTTTACCGAGAGATCGAAACAAGTAAAAAAAGAACAAAACAACATTCTTTCTCTCTCTCTCTCTCCAAAACTGCATAATAATAACTCATTGCGGAGCTTTTGCGCGCGCATAAATTAGCCCATAAACCACGCGTACAACAGTCAGTAGCCAATGATTTACAATCCCATGATTATCGATCTGAGGCTACTGCATACGGACTCGTATACACGCGATACCGCGAGAAGGAGAGAGGAGAAAATATTCCACGAGGCGGATGCGTTGTGTGTTTCGAATTATTATTAAATATGCCGGTGCGGCGCACGAGAGAATTCGCGGATTCGAAAATTTTTGGCCGCGATTCGCCCCGCCTGCCTTTATATACCATTGGCACGAAGCCCTGAGAATCGCCTAGCTCACCCTCCCGCCAAGTTCAAGGCTTTTTCACGCACTTCGATCGTCATATAAATGAGAAATCATCATTCACGCGACATCGCTCATTAACGAGAAAACGAAATTGCGAAGAAATCGTTGTGCTGAACAAAAAAAAAAAAACCACAATGCGTATATCATCACGCAGGAACATCGTCTGCTCGGGTCATCGTGGAAACAAGCTCCTTATCAGCGAATGTGGTGGTGGTGGCGGTGGCGGTGGCGGCTCGAAGCTGTCCGCCCTGCTGACGACGACCAACAGCAGCAGCAGCCCGGACTCGTCGGACGATGCCTCGATCATCGTCCAAGAGCTCCTCGGCGCACACATACCCGCCTTGGCCCAGCAGCAACAGCAGCTGCACGTTAACAATAATCAGCAGCAGCAGCAGCAGCAGCAACAGCGCAACAGTATTACTCCGCCGTTAGTCGATTTCTTCTCTCTCAAAATTGGCAGTAAATCAATCGTGTGCCGTGTTGTTGTTGTTTTTTTTTTGTTGTTGTTGTTGAATTCTTTTCTTTTGTTGATACCGATATAGGATTATCGTAGCCTAATGCGACAACGACATAATGCATGCAGAATTATTATCGCATGACTTTTTTTTCTGCGTTTGGTTTTCCCTTTTGATTTGTCCCTTATCGAGTTCGTTCGTTCATATACAAACCCCCGCCCTGTGTAGACCTTAGACATTTTGTTGATATTTTATTCATATACTTATGATTGACAAAATGAAAAATACCTATGCCCAATCGATTATCGATCGTTATACGTTATACGCTTACTACGATGCTTTGTTGAGTTTGTCGATTGCTTTTATTTTTTAGGTACATAAAAGCTTATACTTATTTTCACTTTATTTACGCTGTTGTTTGGTTTTACTTTCTCATGCTATTATCACGTTTCTTTGTATCATCCTTCCATCTCTCTCTCTCTCTCTCACTCTCTGTCCATTCATCTTCATCATTTTGGTTTAATTTTTAGTTGACTCGAAAAATCGATGCAAAAATAAATATAAAATTCATAACGACACATAGAGGCCGAATGCATCGTGCGATATACAATAACGAGGCTTAATTTTCGTTCAGCAGAAACGCGTCCGGCGGCTCGGGCTTGAGCGAGACGGGCTCGCTCGACCGGGCAAAGGCCGCGCTGGAGCGCCGCAAGAAGGCCGAGGACGGATCGGGCAACACGGCGACCATCTGCCGGGTCGAGGTGACGAGGCCGAATCCGGACTCGCTCATCGACGAGATCATCAAGGCGACCAATCTCGAGGGTTCCGTGCTCGAGTCATCCGAGAGTAAGCTTTGCTTCTTTTTTGTTTTTTAAAAAAGTTGAAAATGCCAACAACTCATTCCTTTTCTTTTTTGCTATTCTAGCCACGGGTCTGCAACTGTTCATAGCCAAGGACGGCACGACGGCGCTGGGCTCGCACGAGGTCAAGGCCCAGATGCCGGCCGGAGTCTTCAAGCAGGTGGTGATGGAGGAGAACAGCAGCAGATAACAGGAGGCCATGACGGGAGCTGCCGCTGCCGTCGTCGTCGCTGCCGCCGCCGCCACCCCCGCCTCCTCCGCTGCTGCTTCTTCTTCCACGAACGTTAACAATGCCGCCACTACGGCCGGTACCATCATCATCACCTGCACCAGTGCCGTCGCTTCCAACGCCGCCACGGCCAGCAATATCAACAACAACAACAGCTCCATGACGAGGTCCCAGCAGCAGCAGCACGAGAGACTCGCCCTCGTGCCGGAACTGCTCACCGATCAGGAGCTGCAGATCATCGGCACCGTCAAGACCGCGTCCGCGTCGCATCATCATCATCATCATCATCATTTCAATAACGGCGTTGTCGGTGGTGGCGCGCGTTCGCTCACCAGATTGTGATTCGAGCACGCCACCAGCAGCAGCTCCCTGCCGATGACGTAGTTTCGCTCTTTATTGGTGTTAATTAGATAGGCAAAGAAATAATAATAATAATAATAACGACAAAGAAAAAAAAAACGACAAAAAAATAACGATTATAAATAAAGATAAATTAACGAACAAATTATCGGGAGGTCCGAGCGTCGTAGCGCAGGACTCGAGAGACCTGCCTGTGTGTGTACTCGCTCTGTGTACGATGTACATTTTTCTTCCGTTACGCGCGAGAGGACAAGCACAAGATTTTGACTCGTCGACAAATTTTTAGTATTATGGATAAAAAAAAATCGTCGTGGTGCATCGATGAGTAAATAAGTCAATATAAATATTATAAATATATCCGAGTCCTAGGACTAATCTCTGCGCCAGAGCGGAAAAAAAACCTTTGTTTTGTAAATAATAGGTGTATGTATATTTATTATATGAAGAAAAAAAAATTTAATAATTACTAGATGATAAAGAAATAAAAGTTGACTGGAGCTCGCGCGTGGTTGAAAATAAAAAAATAGCGAAGAGAAAATGATAATCTTTGCGAGAGTCGCGTCCGAGAGCGCATTAGGAATAATAAGTGACTTTTTCTTTTTTGTACTTCGGAAAGTCAATGGCCGATATTCTTCCTTATTACTTTGGTACGCGAGGGGTTGATTTGCGTTTTGATGCGTCGAGCGCGACGTCGATATTACCGATGACCCATCAATTATATTTATCATTCCTTAGAACTTTATTTTTTACAAGAAAAATTTTTTTCCGTTCAATTTCTGAGGTGCTCTGAACGATGACAAATTCATTAGATTTTGTTCGGAAAGACTGTTGCCGAGTCTTCTTTGTACATTTCCTAGGTATGAGTTTTTTTTATATCGAAGCTTTTTTTCCAGAGAAAAAAATTTTTTAATCAAAATATGTGTCTATGGATGTTTGAATCTTAATGAGACAATTCAAATCGTCCGTCAACTAGTTGCCAAACATTCAGTCACTTCTTCCGTGATTTTGATCGATGCGATAATATTTTACTTACATTATGGAGTGAAAATTCCTGTTATTGACAATGTATATATTTTACTGCTTCGATTGGACTCTTTCTTTTTTATACAGTTCGTAATAATCAGGTCACTGTAATCCGCAATTAAAGTAGCAATTTGTAAATATAGTTTTATAATTGTTACGTAGATGGCTGGTTATTATACATTTTTTGATTAAAAATAGTACGTACGTTGTGTAGTAGGAATCATGTGCATTTTAAAAATGAAAAAAAATATCGAATATAGTATTTCATGGCGAAACGAATAACAAGTTTGTAAATAAGGACAAAAAATTATGGACGCTATTCAAGTGTACAGGTCGAGAATTTATTTTTAAAGCTCAATCGTATAAATTCAAACACGATGTCAAAGACAAAAGTATATATCTGACAAAAAATGATCGATTTGAAATTCAATATTGCTGTACGAAAATACATCGACGATAACCTTATTCAATGAGTGTGATACGATTTGAAAATAATCAAATACATTAGTGAAATCCTGAAAAAAAAATGTTACTAAAAATTAAGTTGATAACAAAGTAAATTTTAATCTTGTAGGTAATAACAAATAAAACAACATAAGAAAGTAATAACGATCATTTGAAAAGTGCTAAGTAATGTAAATTAAGAACAATTTTTTTTGCTCAATCTGGATTCAGATAAAACGTCATCAAATTGCCGCTGTACTGCCAACCGACTGATGCGGTGGTACTCTTATAATATGTTTGCTTTGTACAGTGTTTTGCATAAATACTTTTCTATTATATGCTTGATACATTACAAGAACGTAAAAAAAGATTAATTTAGCATTGGTTGAATTTGATACATAAATCAATACTTTGCAATTCCAAGATGGCAAAGTTGATATTATATTACCAAAACTTGTAACATGCTCAACATAAAATCTCGTCTCTGAACTAGACATCTTAATTACGAAAAAGCACTGTCTTCTATACTTGTTTTGGCGTCGGTATTATTTGTATGTATCGCGTTTAAATTTAATTTTAAAGCTACGCAGAAATAATTATCGTAAGCGCTGCATCAAATAAGTGTCAAAAATAAGTTTTAGTCATTAACGACTGAAAAGAAAAGCAAAAACGACCACGTGTACAGATAATTGATAAATAAGTACTTTTGTGTTGGAAGTTTGTGCGAAAAAAGCTCATAATTCTTTATGAAAATTTAGCGTTTAAAGGATTCTGCCTGAGATTATGATTTTTATTCACGCATATACAATTATACTCAAAAAATGTATTTTATGTATTTAAGCCGTTCTGTCCTTCCTGTTTTAAAAAACAATTATAAATTGATTCAGAATGTTAGCTTATCTTGCGTATCAATTTTGTATAAACGTAACTACTTGTTTCCAAATTTACCAAATTCTTTGTAAAAAGTCTGATATGAAATCTTTCAAACGAGCAAGCATGCAAACAAATCATTTTCATGTATTTCTCTAAATTTGATGCTCATCGCTGTCTCTTATTAGCCTGTAAATACTGAATGGTATATTAAACTTGCGTTATAACAAAATTTTTCATGAACTCGATGATTTTTTACCCAGAAATTTATATTATCAACACCTGCTCACCACTTAGCAAAGCCATAAAACCAATAATTCGTGTTTGGAAATAGAGCCATAAACGCGGATTTATTTTAGAGTAATTACCAAAGTTAATCTTGTTCAAGCAACCTCGGAAACAATTGATTTATTATTCTGTCTAAACTTTCACCATCATTTACTATTGTTCAATATTATTTAACGTTTAAGAGATAAGTAAATCGATGACTAATTTACATCTCTGGAAAAACGCGAAAAATACTGCTAGTGCACGGCTGATCTATAATACTGTTATTGCCCAGAAGTACGCAGTAATAACAGGTGTCCGTATGTGAATGCATTTATTGCGTTATTTTTGATAATTATTTATCATTTCGTAACATTCAGCATTTTTCGTTGTTGTAAATATCGTAATTGAAAAAATAGTTGTATTTTTTTATTCTAAAAACTGTCATAGGTCACTCTCGCGCTCATTGCATTTTTTAATTTTTGTATTGAATTCAAATTAAGTTAAAACTTTAGACACTAAAGCCAAATTAGCGATACGAAGAAGTGTCTTAGACAGTCGTGGCTTCAGTACCATGTTAGACATTAGATTGTTAACATTGTTCATACCCACCAAATTTAAATATTAAAAAAAATTAACAAAAAATGAATTCCTCGAATCTCAGGGTGTTAAACAACAACGCATCATTGATACAGGTATAATAATTCAGTTTTAACAAGCTTTTATCACTTTTCAAAAAATTCAGAGTACATTAATTGGTTGATTAAATAATAAATTAAAAAACGGTTTGCACTTTGGGATTTTCTGATATATATTGTTATTACCGATCATTTCTCTCGTAGCAGAAATAATCGGCCTGTCAGACAATTTATCAAAATCAAAATTTTACAAAGGTGTAATGACAGTTGAACGTCCGAGGTTCAGGTAATGTACAATTAGTATTATTAACAGCACAATTTTTATTGTAATATAAAAAAAAGCATGTATGAATATGCACCGATACATATTTACAATTGTCTATCATCAATTTTTCTCGCACTGGTCACATACTAAATCTTTCCGACCTTCGTGGACTGTTTTTTGATGTCTGGTCAATCTTTTGCTAAAATACTAAATCTTTTTGATCTTCAAGGATTGTTCTTTGGTGTCTGAGCAATTGCTGTATATCTTCAAAATTCTTCTCAAACTTGACGCAATGTGAAATATTTCCGACCTTTGTGAATTAAATTTTGATGTCTTTGTAAATTGCCTTTATTTCCGAATTTTCTCTCACATTCGCCACAAGCATAATCTTTGCGATTTTCGTGTACTGTACTGTGATGCAGAAACAAAGTCGATATTTTTCCAAATTTCTTGTTGCACTTTTCGCATGGGTAATCTTTGCGACCTTCGTGGACTGTCCTTTGGTGGGTGAGCAAGGTCGATTTTTGTCCAAATTTCTTCTCACATTTGTCGCATGCGTAATCTTTACGACCTTCGTGGACTGTTTTTTGGTGCTGAATCATAATCCATTTTTCTCCAAATTTCTTTTCGCATTTGTCGCATTTGTAATCTCTACGATCCTCATGCACCATCTTTTGGTGTAAACGCAATCTCAGTTTCGCTCCAAATTTTTTCTCGCACTTGTCGCATGCGAAATCTTTGCGACCTTCATGGACTGTCTTTTGGTGTCTGAGCAAATTTCCTTTTTCTCCAAATTTCTTCTCGCATTTGTCGCATGCGTAATCTTTACGTCCTTCATGAACTATCTTTTGGTGTAAACGCAATGTCTGTTTCGTTCCAAATTTCTTCTCGCACTTGTCGCATGCGTAATCTTTCCGACCTTCGTGGACTGACCTTTGGTGCTTTAACAAATTCGATTTATCTCCAAATTTCTTTTCGCAATTGTTACACGCGAAATCTTTGCGACCTTCATGGACTGTTTTTTGATGGATGAGCAAATCCCATTTTCGTCGAAATTTCTTCTCGCACTCGTCGCATACGTAATCTTTGCGATTCTCGCGGAGTGTATTTTCGTACCTGATCAAATCGGATTTTATTCCAAATTTCTTCTTTCGCTCATCACAGGTGAAAACTTTACGACCTTCGTGGGTTGTTTTTATGTGTACGAGCAGATTCTGTTTACTTCCAAATCTTTTCGCACACTTTTCACATAAATAATCTTTGAAAACTTCGTGGAATATTTTGTTGTGCTTGAGTAAACTTGATTTATTTTCAAATTTCCTCTCGCACTTTTTGCATGTGAAATCTTCACGATCTTTGTGTACCAATTTCTGGTGCGTAGTCAAACTCGATTTTTTCTTAAATCTTATCTCGCAGCTGTCGCATTCAAAATCTTTGTGGACTCTGTGTTCTGATATTTGGTGCCTACTCAAATGACTTCGGAACTCGAATGTCTTTTCGCACTTGTCGCATGCGTAATTTTTCTGTTCATTGTGATATGTGTCTCGGTGTGTTATCATGCTCGATTCTAGTATAAAAGACTCTTGACAAATACCACAAACGTGATTTTTGTTGTCTGAAACATCCTGGGAGTCAACTTCCTCGAATTTCTTCTCACTTTTATCCATTTATGGCTTGTTTCATCGAGAAAGACAATATTTAAACTAATTTGTTTTTACTATAAACACGATCAGTGTTTCAAGGGGCGATATCAAAATCGGTTATAATCATATTGTTTACAATTAAGGAACCAGAATTTACACATTATCTTTACAATATTTGAAACAATAAAACATTTTTAATTGGCAACGATCCCTTTGAGGGATTTTTGGACTTTCTGAAACAAAGTACTTCCAAAATCAAACTCCCGATGGACAACATCGAGTAAATATATCCTTGTACATATATTAAATGAAAAATTGTGATATTTATTCTAAAATTCGCTGCCTCACGCTATAGGGAGATCAGCCTACTTCTTAATTCGACACTAACGACAATAAAGACACTGATGATCTTTAAACCATGGTTTTGCCATACGATAATGTTATTTATTTGATCAATTCCGAAAATCGTATTATATATTAATTGTATACGATAGATATATTTGATAATTAATGTCTGCTAAACCTGCTATGATCATCCATTAGAGCTGCTTAAACTAAACGAATGGAATAAATTAACAGCAAAGATTTTTCTTATATCAATCTTACATCAACGAATGTGAATCTTAACACCTCCTTTATCAAGCAATTTTCTAATTATCAATATATGGTGTATCTTATTCACAAAATGATTGTTTGACTGACAGATTTTTGAAGGAAGCGATGAATCGTCAAGTAAAACTTTCGAGACAAATTTTTGCAAAACTCGTAATGCTGCGCCAAGATTTTTCGATATCAGTACCTCGTGTACTAACGATTTTATTACTCTTAAGGCGAGTAAAAAATTTGATAGAATTTTCTTACAATCAATATTTTAAACTCTGAGGCTAGGTCGCGGCTTCCGTTAACAAGTAGAATCCGATAAAAGAAAATAGTCATCTCATACTTATGGGCCTTTACGAAATTCGAAAAATTTTTAATGAATTATGTGTCCCCAGTCGACACATGGACGTGCGTGTTTCGATGGATTCTTTTTTGTTACATTCACCATTGAATTGTGCACATGTGGCTCTTCACGATGTCATACCCGAATAAAACAGTTTCTTCGAGATTATGTTTTCCCAGTCGCCATCGGCTCAAGCCGCGCGAGCATGTGTTCGACGAATAATTGCTGATTGGAAACTCTAGAAGGATCGGCGCAATGTCTCGATCAAATTTTGATGGTTTGAGCACTACTGCTTTATCTTGATGTCAAACCCAAATAAAACAGTTTCTACTAGATTATGTTTTCTCAGTCACCATCGGCTCAAGCCGCGCGAGCATGTGTTCGACGAATAATTGCTGATTGGAAACTCTAGAAGGATCGGCGCAATGTTTCGTTCAAATTTTAATATATGCATACATTCACCAAGTTTCACTGAGATACAAGTGTTTATGTACAAAAAAAAAATTAAAGTGTTTGCGACATTCATTAATTTTTTATTTGCTCAGTCAACTATATCTGACAATGTATTTTTAACGTCATTTCATCCCTAACACGCGTAGAATTTACTTTGAGTCTGTTTGTTTGATTCTCTACCTTGAGAAGACTTTGTCTATCAAAATCTTACATACATCATTTGAAAGTACTGTTTTCAGCAAGTACTCGATTAGAGAAATGAGAAAAAAAAAGAGAAAAATTTTTTTTCATCTTTTTCAAGGCTCCATATCGTCCGAAAAAAATCATTAATACTTCAATTAAAAAATCGCTGCCAATACATCGGCAAAGAGCTTCTTCATTAAGGAATTGTCGCTCCCACTGTTATTTTTAAATGCTAACCAAAAATTAATTTTTGCTACTCTATTAAAATCACTACTTAGATTAGGGCTGTGCGAGAACCCGATTTTTCGAGTTTTTGATAAACCCAATTTTTCTAAGATATTTTTGCGACATTTCTGACATCGGAAACAACAAGTTTTTCATGTATGCAAAAAAATTAATTTTTCTGGACATTCGACTTCACTGAGAATCGGCCATATGTCATGTCATAATGTGGAAAATATGTCTTTTGAATCATAATACTGGGAAAAAATGTTCACATAATTTCCCATAACATTCATAAATGCGTTCATTTTAGTTCAAAATTCATGGGATACAAAATAGGTCTCCAAGATCAAGTCATAAAGCTCAAAGGTTTATTGTTCGAAAAAGTGTTTCGAGCATGAAAAACAATTGGACGCGAGTGCAAAACTTTTTTTCAAAACATGCGAGATCGAACTAATTCTGTAACTAAAAAGTGCTAATCATAAAGTTTGGATTGGCGTCTCTTTAATTGTCACCGAGTGCGGTCACTTTACCCAGCAGCTGATCGTGCTCGCGGACTGTCATAATAAACCGCGCTGTTGTGCGCCCGCGCGCATTGAAATTGATTCGTTAAAAAGTTGATTATAATTAGGTTACAGTCGAGTGAAAAAAAAATGCAAATGTCCCGATAAAAAGAGAAATTCCTCGTGTTCTACTCACGAATAAATGATTTGAGTTAATTAAATTACGAGCCCCTTTTTGATCGACTCGCACAGTGGAATGGCAAGTAGTCAGTAGCAGACCAGCAGCCTGCAGCACTGCAGCATACATACACAGGCTCTTCAATATCTATAAGTGTACAGTATAGTAGTATGCGTAAAGTCGTGCGCGCGCAGCTGTCATCTCAACTTTCAGCCCACTCAGTCTTCTTGCAGACCAGAATCGCAGTTGCTTTGTAGTACGCGTATACACCAACACTTTGGCTGCAGAATTACTTACCCAGATCATAACAATAATACACAGCGATCGCTCGCAGTTCGCGATTTTGTTTACCAAGTATAACACAATTTGGGTGACCTTCCTCGAGGTGCGTGTAATGCACAGAAGACGTGGATTCACGAGATAAATCGTGTCTCGTCCGCGGAACCCATTGAACGCGTGGGCAGCAGCAGTGGCAGCAGCAGCTCTGGATGTCGTCGTTGCTGCAGCAGCACACTAGACGACGTCCATCTCGGTATCGATCGTACGTATGCTCGTTATGTATGAGTGGGATACAAGAGGAAGATGTGTTGTTTTGTGCCACCGGTCATCACTCTAACATTATTATTCATCTTTCGCAGGACGATCATGTAATGACGTATTAACCATCGACGAGATAAAATCCCAAAGTTAACGCGATGGAGGTTGTGGGCGATTACGAGTACAACAGCAAAGACCTCATCGGTCATGGTGCCTTTGCCGTTGTCTTCAAAGGCAGATGCCGTAAGGTACGTACACGCGCGTTGGCTCTCTTGTTTCATTTTGTCCCGTATATATCTTTTGTTTTTTTTTGGGAATGACAACAAACTCATCTCGAACCATTGTCTTTCGACTTTTTTTTTTAGAAACCTAGTTCTGTGGTAGCTATCAAGAGTATCACTAAAAAAAGCTTGGCAAAGTCACAGAATTTACTGGGAAAAGAGATAAAGATTCTAAAGGTAACGACTCTTTTAGATTGTTTATTGTTCTATGAATTATACTAGTGAAACGATGTACTTAATTGCGTCATCCATTGTTGTTGCTTAGGAATTGACTGAATTACATCACGAAAATGTCGTTGCACTTTTGGACTGTAAGGAATCTAGTCACAATGTCTTCCTAGTCATGGAATATTGCAATGGTGGAGATTTAGCTGATTATTTAGGTGGTACGTTAAATGAAAGAGTTGAATAGTTTACAAATTTATATAAAAATGTGTATCATATGTTAAACTTGTTTTCTTTACATTACAGCAAAAGGGACTCTTTCTGAAGCTACGATTCAAATTTTTTTAAAACAGTTGGCTGGTGCAATGAAAGCTCTGCATGCCAAAGGTGTCGTTCACAGAGATTTAAAACCACAAAATATACTTCTAAGCCACAACTGTGGTAAAATGTGTCCTCAACCAAATCAAATCACTCTTAAAATTGGTAATTACAGCATCATTAACTTGTTTGTTTTTCACTTTATCTCATAATCATTGTTGACGAAATAAAAAAAAATGTATTTCAATTTTCAGCTGATTTTGGTTTTGCTAGATTTCTCCAAGATGGTGTTATGGCTGCCACTTTATGCGGTTCACCAATGTACATGGCTCCAGAAGTCATCATGTCTCTTCAATATGATGCGAAAGCAGATCTTTGGTCCTTGGGGACCATTGTTTTCCAATGCCTCACAGGCAAAGCTCCATTCCAAGCGCACACACCTCAGGCCCTGAAAATGTTCTATGAAAAGAATGCGAATTTGGGTCCCAAGTCAGTATTCGAATTTTTCTGGAATGGCTATACTTGTGATGATGATAAATTCACATTGATTTATTTTAAATTAAGAATTCCACCGGGAACGTCACCCGAGCTCTCCAACCTCTTGATGAGTTTGCTGAGGCGCAACGCTCGTGATCGTATGCCCTTCGATGAATTTTTCAATCACCCTTTTCTACAAGGTCCGCATCAGTCGAGCGTCAGTCCGGTACCTGTAGAATTGCCCGTGACGCCGCGCGCAATGATCGCCCACGAGAGAATATCTGGTGGCATCAGATGCGGCCAGGACATCAACAGTCCTTGCTCCAGTCCGGACGATGATTTTGTACTGGTGTCCAGTGATCTCAGCAGTGATCTGGACAACAATACGAATCCTCAGCAAGTCAGGTAAATTTTCTCATTCCGTTTTTCCGACAAAAAAACTGAATTTCGAAACTTTTACGCGCAAGCGCTAACATCTGCATGTATATTTACCCGACAGATACACAAAGGCGAACAATCGCGAAGCGGCGGCCAGTCCTCCTCGACCGAGTTATTTGCCGATCACCGAACCGATTCCCGTACCGTCGCAGCAGCAGCACTCGCAGCCCCGAAACATAGCAACGAACAAACCATCGTCGGCCGCGACGACGACTACTACTACAACAACTCCCGGTGCATCGGCGGCTGCGGCGGCGGCCTGCGGTCCCGACGGTGCCTCGGTGCCGCGCTCCCAGCCCATCAGCATGAAACGAAACAAGGACGTGGTGAACGTGGCGGACGTCGGCTCGCTGAGTCCGCCCAGCGTGCAATTCGCCATCGGCACGCCACCGGGCGGTCGCCGGCTGAGCGAGACGCCGCCGCCCCCGGCCACCTGGCAGGTCAGTCCCGTGGCGAAGCCCGGACTGCATCACGGCTCGTCGTGCTCGTCGCCGTTGCGCCGTTCCAGCAGCGGTGGTGGTCACGGGGGCTCGTCGCCACTCCTCACCGGGCCCCTCGCCGCCGTACTCGGCTCGCCCAGCGCCAAGAACGCCCAGGACAACAACAACACCACCACCCTGAGACAGTCGCCCGTCATACCGTTCGGCACGCGGGCCGTCACCCTGCCCGAGATCTCGGAGGCCGCGGGCGGTCTGCAGCAGCTGTTCCCCGATCTCGCCAACGCCACCGGTCTGCCCATTGCTCGCGCGAGCAACATCTACGACCACGACGCGATACCGTTCCTGCACCCGGAGCTGCCCGAGGAGACGCTGCTCGAGCGCGAGCACAACGAGATCCTGGCCAAGCTGAACTTCGTCGTGGCCCTCTGCGACTGCGTCTGCGAGGTGGCGGGCAACAAGCCCAAGGTCGTCTCCGAGGAGATACTGTCGGGCAACGAGCCCCAGGTGAACAGCGCCACCACCCGGAGAAAAGCCGAACAGGTGATACTGCTGGTCAGGGCGCTGCAGTGGCTGAGCTCGGGATTGACCCTGGCGACTCAGTCGTTGAAGGCTGGTAGGCTTCAGCCAACCACTAGCGTCAAAGAAGGTAGGCCTCGATGAGGTTTCTCAATGAATTTGCACTATGCTAGTAATTTTTTTTTCGTTTCCAGTGATAAACACGATGAATGAAAAATTCAAGGAATGCTTGAACGAGTGCAAATCTTTGAATACATCCGGACTTCTTCGCCAATCTGGAGCGACGGCTGACAAAATTCTCTACAATCATGCTATACAAATGGTAAGCTTTTTTACCCCGTCAAAAGTATCGCGACTCAATGGGTTCTCATTTCAATAATCTATCTCACTCGCGACAGTGTCAGTCAGCGGCTCTCGACGAGCTATTTGGAAATCCAGCCGAATGTTTCCAGAGATACCATACCGCGCAGATCCTGCTGCACTCCTTATCTCAGCACGTCAATCACAGCGAAGACAAAGCACTGTTGTGCAAATGTAAGTGCAATGATCGATCAGTTACGCCGCGCAGCTCTCGTTTTCTTTTTTTCACGAAAATTTTATTTAATTTTTTTGACAGATAAAGACGCCGTCGAGAAACGCCTGTACGTTCTGCAGCAGAACGGCTACATTTACGCAACGGATACGACGTAACGCACGAAGGGCGGACCGTTCGTCAGTGCACGTCTATCGATTACAATTATCCCGCGCAGCTTGTATCCAGCGATGATTCTATAAAAGTCTTTTTAACGAATTATAAAGAAATAGAAGAAGAAGAAGAAGAAGAAGAAAGTCAACGACTAAACTAAATGCATAATTATTGTAAGCATATATAAGATGAAGTGTAACTTGAATAGTTTTTATTTTCTTTACAATGATTGTTTAATTGCGACCGGATATCAGTGATCTTTTTATTTATACTTATAATAAGTATATATAGATATGTATACGTAATACATAAGCCTGTGGAAAAATTGTTATACAATGAATTGTTTATTGAATGTAATTGATTTCAGAATTTTTATTTATTATTTGATTTGTATTTGAACAATAAATGCGCGTATAAGAAAAATATCTCTCACTGTTTTAACGTGCAAAATTCTTTTTATTAAAATAAGTTGTTGTACAAATAGTGCACACGACTAAGCAATTTTCATAGAATATATAACGTAATGATGCTTAACAATAACATTAATCTAAGTATACCTTTTTGTAAGAAACCTAGTACTTTAGTAACCTATTGTTTTTTATCCTCAACCGCAGGAACGGAATTATCCTTTTCGTTGTCTCTCCAAACAGCGTAATTGAGGGCTACTGCAAGTGTATTCCAGGCTAAATAAGGGAGGATTAATAATCCAGCTGTTGTATTTACTCTGTAAAATAGTACACCCATTGCAGCGGTTGTTCCCCAAAGAGCAATGATTTCATACAGAGCCTACAAATCATTTATATTAATTTTAAAATTTTGCATTTAAAAAATCCCTAAATGCTCAATAAGCTTTCAAGCTTAAACATGAATTAGCGCTGCATACTAACCCATTTGATTTTATGTGCTCCAAAGAAAATTGGAGTCCACGCCCAGTTCAGAGCCAAATTTGCACCGTACACTGACAATGGCAGTGCAGCATTTTCCCAGCTCCCACTGTCACGCAAGACCAAGTGAGAAGCGTATCCCATTGAACAATATACAGTTGTCCATGCTGGGCCAAAAGCCCAGTTGGGTGGTGTCCAACTTGGCTTTTTAAGTGACTATCAAAACATGATGTAATTTTTCAGATATTTGGTAAGGAAATCATTTAAATTACGAGTACTTCAGTTGATTAAAAAAATTAGGTGTATTTAAAACTGACAGAGCTAAATGTTGTCATAAAAAAATTAAAAACACGATAAGAAACGATCGTATTTATCATACGTTCAGCATCGTATCGCGTCAAAGGAGTAATTGCAAGTCACTATTTAATTACAGATAGGAATTGAAGTATCGATTGTTTTAATTTGTCACTGTGCACGACGCACTTCAAAGTATTGAAAAAAAAATAATAATCACAATATTTCGACGAGCGCAATGAAGCGTTAAACGGAATTCGGTTCATCGACCTTCGACGACGGTGGTGCACTATTAACAGGTGTACGCCAAGAAAGAAAGAGCTTAACTGCGCGAAGAGCGAAGAAAAAAAAAGTGTATGCACCGCGCAGCAGACACCGCTAATAATCGCGAGCGTCGATACTAGGCGACGAAATAATAAAGTTTACTTGTATAGGAGTTGTGTACCTGGTACCAGGGCTTGAGATTCCTCCTGGTGATGAGGAAATTTCCCAACCAGCCGCCGATGTTGGGATGCACGGTAGCCGCGATAACCGGCCACGTTACGCTTCCCGTCATTATTGCGTTATGTTATGTGCCGTGTATGTATTTCTTATATGCGAATATTCGCGTGCCGTTCTTCGCTCGGACGTATCTCGCGCTACACTGGCGGACGCCGCCGCGCTATGGCACATCGCTGTTGCGGGTACTCGCACAACGCGACTGTGTACAGTCTGTGTCGGCGCTGAACGATTATATACAGTATACGATATATAAGTGTATAACGATTTTAGAAATATCCAAGGCACTCGTTCGAGTGCATGTGAAACGATTACGTGAAAACGCGATTGTCAAAATTAGTTCTGTAAATTTCGTTCGTTTACTAATTCGCTCCTCTTTAGACGATTGCCAATTAGAGTGACATTCGTGGCTGAAATTTCGGAAAGATGATTTCGGAGTAAATAAGATTGCTTCTTTTTTTACAATTCATTTTGTACATTTATTTGTTCTTTTTGATCAACAATTTTACAACCCATCTAATTAGAAATCAAGTTATCGTACATGATGTAATCTTAAAAATATAAATAAGAGCATTTTTTTATCTTTTTGTGATGTATACATAGGCCATTGACATCAACAGCGATTAAATACTAATCTCATCTAAAAGTAACAAATGCATATATGTGCTCTTCATGAACAATAACTTGGAGATGTTCGGATGCAATTCTGATAAACCCTAAATTACATAAAAGATCCGCTCGCATTCGTACGAAAGTCGTAGTTAGTTTTTTATACTCTTGTTAACAAGTCTATAATGAGAGATGTATTTTAAAATCGTCCTTCTTTTTTAAATACACAAAAATGCTTCATCATTCATTCTTATTGAGTTTTAATGAGCTAATTATAATTTGTGAAAACATAATTACATGCTTAATCTAATAAATAATAATGTAAATAATAAGACAAGGGCACAATACCACATTAAAAAAAAAAAAAAAACAGAAAGATATTTACATTTTCAACCATTTTAAAATTCCTTTTAACAAAAAAAAGTCGTTTCACTCTATGCCACCATGCTTCCGTTATATTTACACATTAACAGTACAACTCAAATGTTACCTAAGCATTTTTACAGTCAAATGCTAATTGCTTTCTCGTCCAAGCAATTCATGGCAACGATTCTCCCTACGAATCTTGTGCGTGAAAACATTATACAGGGTGGGGAATAAATATGGAAACCCCTGGAAATTTCGCAGAATAAGTTGGGAAAAAAAATCAAAAACCTTATATCCGACGTATTTTTTCACGGGGAATCCAATGGTGACCTTGAATTTGACCTTGAACATGACCTTCAAGCTCCAGTGACCCAAAAATCGATTTTTCAAATGTAACCCCCATTTTTTATTGCAGATTTGAAAAGAGCACAAAATTTCACGTCAAAATGTATGTTTTGTTTTTTTTTTCAAGGTCATTTTAAGGGCGTTACAGACGCAAATAAAACCCCAATTTAACCTAAAATTAAGTTCAAGTAAGGGCTTTTTTTCTAATTGTACTGCCTCCAAAATGACCTTAAAAAAAAAAACAAAACATACATTTTAACGTGAAATTTTGTGCTCTTTTCAAATCTGTTATAAAAAATGGGGGTCACCGTGCGAATAATCGATTTTTGGTTCACCGTAGAGTATAGGTTATGTTCAAGGTCAAATTGAAGGTCACCATTGAAAAGAGTGGAAAATTTTACGTGAAAATATGTATTTTATTATTTTTTTTAAGGTCATTTTGGAGGCAGTACAATTAGAAAAAAAGCCCTTACTTGAACTTAATTTTAGGTTAAATTGGGGTTTTATTTGCGTCTGTAACGCCCTTAAAATGACCTTGAAAAAAAAAACAAAACATACATTTTGACGTGAAATTTTGTGCTCTTTTCAAATCTGCAATAAAAAATGGGGGTTACATTTGAAAAATCGATTTTTGGGTCGCTGGAGCTTGAAGGTCATGTTCAAGGTCAAATTCAAGGTCACCATTGGATTCCCCGTGAAAAAATACGTCGGATATGAGGTTTTTGATTTTTTTTCCCAACTTATTCTGCGAAATTTCCAGGGGTTTCCATATTTATTCCCCACCCTGTATGTATGTAATTATAAAACTAGAATTCAGACTAGATGGGCATAGAACAAACATTTTCTTCAAAATAATATGAGCTAACGTCAGTACAATCTAAATGATTTGAAATTCCTATAATTTGATTAAGTTCTAGTATAGTATTACATTTGTTTTACAAAGGAACTATTATGAACTTGTAATAATAATTTCAACACACTATTTTTTAGGCTATTTTAGTAGAGTTTACAAACGATTTTTCAAAAATATATTTTTGTGATTTGCAAGTCTCTATAAATTTATTAAATTTGATTGTGATGTATGTACAAATTTTGTTTTGTTTCCTCACAAAAATAATAACGAATTTTAATAATTCCTTTGAAAATCAAGCAGAAAGTGAAAACCTTAATACCTACTTACTGAAAATTTATGTCATATGGGGTTTTCAGAGGCATGCTCACTTATTTGTTGGCACTTCATTCCTTACAATTTTATGATTTTAGAATTCTTAACTTGGTCTTTCACCTAGGTAAAAATTACTAATTATCTAAATTATTATAATAACTAAATATTTTTCTACCTATCTCTTAATCAATAAGAGATTACTATTTTACCAGTTAAATTTTTTACATTAAATTGTTAATAATTTCTAAAATAAATCTAAACAATTACTCTACATTGAAAAATATATTGATGAATTGTAAAGATTGAAGCACCAGTTAATATTTGATATTTACACAACATAGATTTTTTATTCGTGTTTTACTTCTTTAGTATTGCTTTCTTTTGCTTTGTCAAGAGTTTTATCATCATTTTTTCTAGGCCCATGTCTTAAGTTTAAGCCTGAATTACTCCAGTCTACTTTAGAACTATACTTTTGTGGAATGACCAGTACAGTTGTTATAACATTACCCAAAAACAATATTAAGAACATTGCAGCGAGCACTGGTACATGCCAAGTGGCTTCTGAATGCCATGTGAGTTTGTAGAGTGAATAAGCATTATAGAGTTGGAAAAAATAGCCAATGAAAAGGAAGGGTAGCAAAAATGATAAACCCCTCCACATCCAGGAATGAAATCCTTCAATAGTTATATCCATGTTGTGACGTTCTCCCAATGCTTTCAAACGATATAGCACCCCGCTTTGGTAGCGAAATTGTAAATATTGTACAAAACCTTCAAAAGAAAATTTGAATTAGTTAAATTTAGTTAAATTAATATATAAAAATTATATAATTGCAATGGAAATGAGAATACTTACTTATATAAACATTAAACCACATGAATTGTCCCCTAAAATCATACCATGCACCAGTATTTGGCCAAACTAAAAGTAAACCTGCGACGGCACAGGATAAGAAATGATGAAATCTCCACCATCCTTTTATTCTTGAACCATTAACTTTTAATATACTTTCTCGTATCGTTAATGTACAGTAGTACCATACTAATAAAAACATGAAGCTCAGCTCCAATGTTCTAGAAATAGATAAACAAGTTATTGAATTTTCAGTGCCTATAAAAGGGGTTGTGACAAATGATGGCACACACCTGTAATTTGTAAGTAAATTTATCACTGACAAGACAAATCCAATCACAGACAACACCAATTTGAATTTTTCATATTCGTCTTTGTACCTAAATCTAACAAATAAAATGATAATTAATACATGCACGCAAACATTTTGAAATGTAGTATACTTATTTTTAAATAAAACTGTTGCAAAACTTACTTGTCTTCTTTGTTTAATATAGATACGTTTACACTACCCAATATAATGGACAAATACGTTCCATTTCCTTTAGGCAGCGTTTGTTCCATTTCTCCTATTTGATGTTCTCGTCGTTGCATATCTTTGTCCAAATCTTCTATCTCGTTGCTGGCTTGCAGTCTACAATAATTAATAAGTTTTCATGAGCAAATTTCAAATAAAATATTATTTCATACAATTTTAATGAAACAGGTCAGAATCTTACTTTTTCAATGATTTTTTGATAGCTGCCATCCTGTACTTTTGATGCGAAATTCCTTTCAGACATTCTTTCTGCAGTTCGCTAACTTCGTCAAGTTTGCTCAGGTACTTTTTATTTTTGGCCTGTAAAAACACCAGAATTGACATTTTGACGAATCATGATGAATCATTGTGATCGCACGATAATGGCCAATATTTTTAATTAAAATATCTCGCATTAGGTCATTCGCGGGGTAAACGTCGTAATTGCCCGCGACAAAGGAAAAATTAAGCGCAACAACGCCGCGACGACGACGATGACAAAGACCTTGACGAGGAAAACTTTTTTTTTTAACAGCGCATAATAAATGAGAGATCGCAAGTATCCGTGTAAAAAATTCAGCCGAGCATTATCAATGAGCGCGCTTGGTTGTATTTTTTAACAGTCACGATGTATGGGCGAGAAAGTCAAAATAAGCGTTCGCGTGTCACGTTGGATAAAAAAACGCATACGTAATTGTGGAATGTTTTTTTTCTTTTTCAAAAAATACAAAGGCGCCAACGCGTATAGATATTATAGTGGTTTTTCATCGAGTCTCACATTTTCGCGAGGAAAATAATGGATCGCGTCGCGTGAGATGGAAGCATTATTATTTTATATCGTTTCTCCGAGAAACAAGAACGAGAGAACAGCCAAGAAGTCGCAATTATTTTTTCAAACTTTACGACTCCGATGCTCATTACTTATTCATCGGGCAATTGCGCGACGAAAAAAAAGAGTCACCCAAAGTATTGCATGTTGTTCGTTAGAGAGCGAGATTCAATGTCAAGATACACAAAACGCGCGAGCCATCATCGTCGTCGTCATATGTACAATACTTGTACATTCGAATGATATAAAATTGGAAATTTCATGCACACGCAATTACGACACACGTAACCTAAAAAAAAGAGCGTATGGACTCTCGATATAAAGTATAATCTCTTCGCGGATCATCGTCGTTAAAGATGTATTACATAGTTTTTCTTTTTTTTGTTTTGTTCTAACGAGCTGCTGCACACGACGCAGAGAAGAATGTCACACGCAAGAGAGAGAGAGGATAACTCACCTCGAGATCCTTGAACTCGTCGTTGAGCTCGTTCCAATCTTTGAGACAGGACTCCAAGTCGGTATCCATGATGGTGCACGGTGTCTTTTTTTCTCGCGTGTGTACTTTATTCAACGGACGATCCAAGCGATTCGACGTTTGTATCGGGATGCTCCTTGGCGAGGTGCGGTTTATATGGAATGAGAAAATCGAGAGAAACAAACACTTTCACGTGCTGCGGGCTCGGAAACGCACTGTGAACTGAACACTAAAAACTCGATTATAACCCGCGCGCGCGCGCGTCAGTCAGCCACGCAGAGAGCAGTGTCAGTTAGTGCTGCGACAACACACACCCACGCAGCACTATAGAAAAAGTCCTCTTCGCCGAGTGCGCGGAAAAATTATGACGATTCACTTTTCGATGTCTTCAAGAAAGAGCCGATGATTTTTAGATCTTTGCTGCTGCTGCGATGATCGCTGCGCTGCGCGCCTATAATACAGAGGCTCGAGTGTTGTATGTAGTGTCCGTTGTCAGCGACGCGCGTTGCTGCTGCTCCAAACTCAGCTGATTTCCATGCACTGCGTATATATTAGCTTACACACAGCTCACGACGACTGCTGCTGCTGCTGCCCTAAATATATATGTGTATAGTAGAACGGGGAGTGCGCCGCGCACGTCCGACGACGACGATGTCGTTTTTTTATTAATGCAAACTCCGGGGGCTCCTGTCGTGTCGTCTATCGATTCTTTTCCATTGAATTCCGGTACGTATGATATGTATACAATATAATTCGTTCGTTTACAATGCGAAAAGAGCTACTCTCGGTGAGATGTATATGCGAATCGCGATCGATATCTTGTTACAAATAGGATGCTTAGACCGCGTGCAGTGACGACGTTGTATTTTCAACAACTGCTGCTGCTGCTGCCACGTTGATGCGCCGTCTCGACGATGTAACAGCCAAGAGTTCGATTATTTAAACGAGACAGAGAGAGAGAGAGAGACTCGCACATTTGTCCGGAGTCGAGTATGTATATATATAGGTATACTCCAATGTGTAGAATCGATGTGACGATACGTACATACGAGGACGCGGCGCTGCGCTGTGTGTATAAAAGCGTGCACGATGCGTGGTACCTGTATGAGGTGGTATAGCGAGAGCTTGACTTTGGAATACACAAGTATGTGAATGATAAAAAAAAAAGAGAAGAGAAGAGACTGGATCCGCGTGTTGATGTGTGTGTGTGCGCGCATGTAAAGTGGTATTATACACGCTACGCATATGCCAAGTATGTAGTACGCCCCGATCAAGGCCTCGCATATAGCCGCCGCCGCCGCCAAGCGAGTATAGTGACAGAGAGAGAATGAATTTCGACAAGTCCCTCGGCACATGTGACAATACGATATAAGACGCCGCCGCCGCGTAGCGTGTGCTGTTGTCTCTGCTGCTGCTGCTGCTGCTGCTGCTGCACCACTTGTGTATGCAGTTCTCCATAGCGATACACTTGTATACTGCTTAAAGTCCCAAAAGGTCTGCACGAGTGACTGTTGCATTGTTGATTCGACGTTTTGTTTTATGATCATATAGGCATATTCTCATTCGTGAACGTTTTGAAGCTCACCACAATTATCAATTTTTCTATTTTCAGAATCAGTTTGTACATTGACAGTGTCGTGAAAGTATACGGTTGTCAACATGTTTGCCAAAAAGAAAAAGAAGCCTCAGATATCCACGCCGACCAACTTCGAGCACAGAGTGCACACGGGATTCGACAAGCGAGAGGGAAAATTTGTGGGACTACCTCTGCAGTGGGCATCCATCGTTGGAAACAATCAGATCCTTAAATCTACCAATAGACCATTACCACTGGTGGATCCTAGTGAAATTACCCCTACAGAGATATTGGATCTCAAAACCATTGTACGAGGTCACAATGACGTCAGATTGGTCAAGTCGGCCATGGAGGAGCGTCCAGAGAATCACTTGCCCAAAGTCAGTAGCGTCGCCAGGTCCAATTCGCTCAGATCGTCGAGTCCTCCAAGGTTGAGGAAAGATTACAGAAATAATGCTAACTTGCCTCCATCCGTGCCAGAAGGTCAAGAAATGTCCGTGAATCCTGTGTCAATGCAAGTGTATCCCAATAACAACAAAGCTCATGGGTATAACGACAAAATGAGGCCTAGTTCTACTAGTTCTGGTTCTGCATTACCTAATTTAGGCCATAATATGATTCCAAATTTACAAAACATGAATCCTAATATGCAGTCTTCACCAAGCTTGCCTCACATGGGACCTAGTGCACAGAATTTGTCAATGAATTTCCAGAATTTAAGCCCCATACCAAATGTGCAGAGTCCATCAAGTGCAAACGTTCCACAGATGCAAGATGATTTCCATAGAGTAACTCCAACAGTGCCTCCTGTAATTCCTAATCACTACAATGGTAATATGAAACCACCACAGATCAATCAAGTTCCAGTATCACAAAATATGATGATGCATCCTCCTAAGGTTTCACCTGTTGGTTCAATTGCATCACAACGTCCATTGAGCCAATTAAGCTCGCACAATATTACTAAACATGCTCAAAGTTATGGGGTTCAAGAAAATCCAAATTACCATTCGCACTTGCAGAATAAACCTATTGAATCTTCACAGTCAATGCATAATCTTTCAAAGGCTGCTGCTCAAGTAGCAATGCCTGGAACAATTCCTGGAGTTAGTTCTTCAACAGACCAAAATCAGAATATGAAAGGAGCTATGTCTTCTGGCAATTTGGTTCACGGTGCTGCAGCAGCTGCCAACAATGCTGCTAAACAGAATTCAGATCAACGACTGTCTCATGAGCAATTTAGAGCTGCACTACAGATGGTGGTATGTAAAACAAGCTATTTATTGAGAGATGTATACCTTGCATTTGAATTGTTTTCTTAAAAAATCGAATTAATTATTGGATTTTTTTTCATTTTAGGTAAGTAGTGGTGACCCACGAGAAAACCTCGAAAATTTTGAAAAAATTGGTGAAGGTAGTACAGGCACCGTCTGCATAGCCACTGACAAAGCAACTAATCGTCAAGTTGCTGTTAAGAAGATGGACCTACGTAAACAGCAGCGACGCGAGCTTCTTTTCAATGAAGTCGTAATCATGCGAGATTATCATCATCCGAACATCGTTGAAATGTACGATAGTTTTCTGGTCAACGATGAACTCTGGGTCGTCATGGAATATCTCGAAGGAGGCGCCCTGACTGACATAGTAACAAATTCACGAATGGACGAGAGTCAAATAGCGACGGTTTGCCTTCAGTGCCTTAGACCTTTACAGTACCTGCACTCTCAGGGTGTCATTCATCGAGATATTAAATCCGATTCCATCCTGTTAACTTCGGATGGTCGAGTCAAGTTGTCAGACTTTGGATTCTGTGCTCAAGTCTCTCAAGAACTGCCCAAACGAAAATCTCTAGTTGGTACACCTTACTGGATGAGTCCTGAAGTTATTTCAAGGTATTATATTGTCACAATATTAAGCATAGTATTATACTAGATGTGAATATTTATTCAAATTATGCGAATTTTTCCGTAGATTACCATATGGTCCCGAAGTTGATATTTGGTCCTTAGGTATAATGATAATTGAAATGGTCGATGGTGAACCACCATTTTTCAATGAACCCCCGCTACAAGCCATGCGTCGAATTAGAGATATGCCACCACCAAAGTTGAAAAATGCAAATAAGGTAACGAAAATAGAGTTTGATTTGAAAGATCTTAAATAACAATAATATTCGATATTTTAAAATTAAAATTTACTACAGGTAAGCCCAAGGCTACTGAGATTCTTGGAGAAAATGTTGGTTCGAGATCCAGCGCATCGAGCTACTGCTGCGCAATTATTGGAAGATCCGTTTTTGATGCAGGCTCAGAGCCCCAGTATTCTCATTCCTCTTATTCAAGAGTTTAAAATACCTGCCAGAAATTGAAATTTCAGAGCTTTTATTCAGGTGTGGAAAATGTAAGAAGTAAAGGAATTGATTTCTTTCGCATTGAAAGAGAGTAACCGGAATTAGCAAAAAAGTGGATAATCAAGTTACTTGACCAAGTATATGTGTCACGATTACTAGTAATTTTAGCGATAGAAAATTATCTAATTGTTATTCAATTATGCGATCTAGTAGTATTACAAAACTGATTTCATAAGTTTATTTAATATTTAAATACTACAAGGAGCCGATGAAACTTATAATAAGTGCCTTTAAAAAATTACCTCGTTAATTGGGAATTGTACAAATTGCGTCGTTTCCATTTTATGGTATTGACGTTGTAAAATGAAGCTTACTGAAATTCATGGAATTTCAAACTCCGTGAATAGGAACTTGATTAGTGAAATTTTCAAGATGTTAAGCTACGATTATCTACTCGTTTTGGGGATAATCCACATTTATAAAATTGTATTTTATCACTGTCATTGAGCTTTTACAGTTTTGATGCGTTTCATAATCTACTCGTCGAGTATCTAAATGAGCTTCGACTTCCGTGATCGTTAATCAGTACTTAGCATTTATTTTTTAAACGATTTATATTGCACCTGAAGTTCTCAGATCACGAAAAGGAATCTTCAACTTCACTCTTTACTGAATTTAAAGAATCTGTATTATTTTTTTTTACAAATATTTCTCAGAAGAAATAAAACCGATTGACCACAGAATTTTACATTCCGCAATGAAAATGAGCATGTGATATTTTAGTTGACAAATTCATTATGATAAACGAGATAGATTTTTGTACTGTTTCACAAGTATATTTTGTACTACTTAAAAGTTACAATATTGTATTCTTTATACAATCATATTATCGCGTGTGAATCGTTAGTTCTTTCAAGTCGCAAATGAAACTTTAATTTTCTGTACAAGAAATCGAGTTATTTGCTTGACTGTAATCTTGCCTTGATTTCACATTCGTCTCTAGAGCATTTAAACACTGTATTGACCGCAACTTGAAGTGATACTGCAACGTATTAAAAACAAGATGTCATGTAAATAAAAATATGAAGATTTATTTAGAGCGCGTTACGAAGACTAAAAAAATGTATAGAACTTAACAATTATTGTTTCATACTTAGGCAATACTAAACTTAATTTTAAACAAGTTTACATCTTAGATTTATTTAAGACGATATTTTTAAAAATGAAGCATTTTATTAGTACGTTGTTAAAAGTGATTTGCTGTATATTTTCGTATCTTACAAATTTAAATTTGTATAATTTTTGTCATACTTCACATTCTGTTTCGTTATTTATTGTAAAAACAGAACGAGTTAATGGATTAATTATTTGGAGTTGACGAAGAGTTTTTTTACGCAGAATATGCGTAAGACAATTAAATACTTACGTAAACTCGTGATACTCGTGATGGTAGTAATTATTACCTTTATTCGGTAAAACATTATTACTGTATTTAATTGATTTATCAATAAGCGCAGAAAAGAAGTAAAATATTAATCATTATAGTTTAACGTTGAAAGCTGTATATAATTTTGCTTCACTTTGAACGAGTGAAAGAGAAAGAAAAATCATGTTATGTAAGTGTCAATGAATCTAATAAATTGTTTGATGCATATAATTTTCGAATTTGTATTCATTTTTTGTGTTTGAAAACCTATATAGAGCAGTTGTAACGCAGTGACGTACTTCTTTTTTCTTTTAGTAGTATGGGCTTTGATGCGATTGGTCGATCGAAAAGTCGAGCCTCCCTAATCGAGCTTCGTTCATTTCTCCGTTCTTTCGGTTGCAGTTTTGTACTTCAAAGTTCGCATTATCATTATAATATCATCGAGCGGGTGATTTAAATCTTTGAAACATGAGATATTTGAGACTAAAAATTTCAAATTGATCTACTACTTCAAGCCACTGCATATGAAAAAGTGTACATAGGCCCAAGTCGTGATGAGAGAAAGTAGGTACAATATTAACGACTCGAAAAATTCCTAAAATTAAGGATTCCTTTCTCTTTCGATCGCATCGAACGACACGTATACGTATGTACAGTCGGAATCGGGTATTTAAAGATTAGAAAATTCGAGTCAAGCGACGGAATAGGTATGGATCCATGTGCTCGAGCTGCTATTGACCATGTGTTTTAAGTGTAGCTGCATTCCTGATTTCTAATAGTCATCTAACACAGCTCGACTACTCCTTTAATTTTCTCGACCATGTGTTTAATTTCTCGTACAGTAACCAGTAAACGCTACGACCTCGTGGCGTACGCAGTGAAAAATGATTCTCGTGAATAAAAAGAAATTAAAAATATTTTAAATATTAAAAATTATAATAACTATTGCGCGCGCGCGTGTGTGTGTGTATGTGTGTGCAAGCAATCATGTCCACCGTCGACGTCGCCCCGATGGAACGCCACGAGTTGAAATTGGAAAAATTGAAGAGACTACGAGACGGCGTCGACTGGGCGGACGAGAAGGACCGCAGCCGAGCCGTGCGTCGCCTCTACGAGATCATCCACAACTGGAAGGAACGACTGCCCGATCTGCGCTCCCTATTCCGTCGCGAGCAGCTGGAGCAGCTCATGGTGGACTCGATGAACCTCAAGTGCCAGGGCAAGTACAATTTCGTGGCCAAGCGGCTGATCAAGTTCGTCGGCCGGTGCGGCTACAGGGACGACCCGGATGCCCGCAGGCGCCACAGGCGGCGGGTGCTGCATCAACGCTCCACGCCGCTGCACCACGCCGCGGCCAAGAACGCCGACTACCTCGTCGCCGGACTGTTCGCGATCTACGACGATTACGCGGCTACGTACGCCAACGAGCAGGGCCTGACGCACTTTCACGTCGCCTGCCGCTTCAATTGCGTCGAGGTGGTGCGCGCCTTCCTGGACCTGGGCCGCGATCCCAATTACGTGGCGAGAGACCCCGAGGACGGCTACACGCTGGAGGGCATCGAGCCGCCGCTGCACATGGCACTGCTGCACAACTGCAGGGAGACGGCCACCCTGTTGATGAGGCGGGGCGCCGACCCGACCATGAAGAATTACCGGGGGGAGACACCGCTGCACAGCTGCTGCCGCAGGGACAGGAGGTATCACGCCGATCACCTGCTCAAGTTCTTCTTCAAGTGCGTGGGCAGACTGGGACGCGCGTCGGACGTCTGGGTCGAGGCCAGGGACAAGGACGGCAACGCCGCGCTGCATCTCGCGGCGCGCAGCAACGACGCGCGATCGCTCAGGTATCTGCTGAGGCAGGCCAAGGCCCATCCGTTGGTGCGCAACCACGACCAGCAGCAGGCCATGCATCTGGCCTGCCAGATGCAGAACGAGGATCCCGTCGAGCTGGTCGAGCTCTACTACGGCATCGTGGACAGGCACTGGATGGAGCTGGCCTGGGGCGTCGATCCCAGGGACTGGTTCGGCTGGACGCCGCTCAATTACGCCCTGATGACGGGACAGGAGCGCTGCGTGGAGTGGCTGATCAAGCGGGGTGGCAATCCGAACGCGCCGAATTACCGCGGCGACTACGAGGTCGGGCTGCACATACTGGCCAGGCGGGAGCCGAGCCAGGGCGAGCAGTCCGTGAGGATGATGAACAAGATCTACGAGCTGACCGAGCCGAGGATCGATCGGCGGGAGGTGAACGGCAACACGGCCCTGATGTACACGCTGCAGTACGGCTATAACCTGGACATGTTCCTGGCGCTGCTGGCCAGGGGGGCCGATACGAACCTGGCCAATTTCCAGGGCACGACGCCGCTGCACCTGATCTGCCAGGAGCCCAATCGCAACGTGGCCCGGGATCTCGCGCGACTACTCATTATCGGCAGCAGGACGACGGTGGAGATCGACCGGAGGGACTGGCAGGACAGGACGCCGCTGCACTACGCCCTGATGAGGCGCCACGTGGAGATCTGCCGGTCGCTGCTGGAGCTGGGCGCCAATCCGAACTCGCGCAGCCAGAAGGACGGCCGCACACTGCTGCACCACGTGTGCAAGATCAAGGAGCACCGCAGGGGCCGCGATCGAGCGCGCATACTGATCGAGTTGAGCGAGTCGACGATAGGCTACAGCGAGCGCTCGGTGCAGGTGGACGCGAGGGACATCTGGGGCAATACGCCGCTGCTGCTGGCGCTCATAGCGGGCAACCTGGAGCTGGCCGAATTACTGCTGGGCCGGGGCGCCGATCCCAACGCCGTGAACGACCAGGGCCTGTCGGCGCTGCACTTCATCGCTCGGGCCAGCAGCAACAACGACGCCGGCGACGACCTGGCCCGCATGTTCTTCCGTGTGTGTCAAGCCGAACCCGGTCGGATGCAGCTGCTGCAGTGCGACTCGCGCGACAGCAAGACGGGCGACAGGCCGTTGCACGTGGCCCTGAAGAACGGACACGACTGGACGAGCAGGGAGCTGATGAAGAGGACGTGGATGCTGCAGGCGGCCAACGGCGTCGGACTCCGCCCGCTGCATCTGATCTGCAAGAGGAGACTGGACGACGACCTGATCGAGGCCTACTTCGAGGCGTGCGCAGGCCAGAGTCATCGGATGAGGCTGCGACTGGATCCGAGGGACGGGGAGAACAGGACCCCGCTGCAGTACGCCGTGGCGAGTCTGCTGCCGCGGGTCGTCGAGTCGCTGCTGAGGAGGGGTGCGAATTTGGCGAGATTCGAGTTTCCTCCGGCGAGCTACTTCGAGCAGAACCGTAGAGCTCGACGCGAGGAGAATTTCCGGCTCAGACTGGCCAGCAAGATCATGGAGGTAATCGAGGCTCTGAGGACAGGAGGATACGAGCTGAGCCGAGCCGACGCTCTGATCGTCATGGATTTATTTTCCACCTACGAGCTGTACCAGACGGCGGATCTCGATGAAAACTGGCACGAGGACGTCTTGTTCAAGAGCATAGCGATACGATTGACCATCCGTCAACAACGACGACGACTGTCGCTGTACGATCTGGTGCAGCTGCGACCGGACGCGGCGCGCAGACGACGCATCAGCCACGCCGAGTACCTGGAGTTGGCCAGTTCACCGGGATTCCGGCGGTTGTCACGGCGACACAAGCAGGCCTGCCTAGCGCGCCTCTGCGAGTTCGTCACCAGGCGATTCTTTCGCGACTGGGGACTCGAGTGCTTCCAGACGCTGACGGACTGTCGACTGCCGATTTTGTGCAGCGAGAATGTGCTGAGCTGGCTGAGCAATCGAGAGCTGTGGGCCATGTGCGGGCCGAGCGAGTTGTGAGATTATAGAGAGCGATGCTAAAAAATGTTGTTATTTCTGCAGATGGGCAAATCTGCTTCGAGTTGGGTATTTTTCCACTTTCACTACTGCTGCTGGCGAGCTGCGATTCTTTGGTGGAGACGGCGTGGTAGCTTTCTTTGTCATTCATGTCCACGAGAATCTTTTCCTCTTTCGTATAGTCTAGCCAGTCAGAGTCGACCTCACTCCATAAATCTCTCTCAAGGTCAAATTTTCGATTTGGACGGTCAGAAGCAATTCACGATCCATTCGGGATGAAGCCGTCATTTTGCCGGGCATAATGCCCCCTCTTTCTCTATCCTTCTTATGTGACGAGCCGGGGGTTGTACCATTGGCGAGAAGATACATTGATTTCTTCCTCGATCGTATCTTCTTCATTTACAAGTAGAGCTGCCTCCGATTGTGATTCCCGCTGTATCAAATAAAAGGAACATTCACATTGTTATCGTAAACTGCAAGTTTTAAAATTATCAGTTTTAGACCAAGTTGAACATCTTTTAGAGGTAAGAATATCAAATCCAAACTTGTATTAGAAAAATTCATTCGGAACTTCCCTACAGAGTTTCAAAATGAAAATAATATTTTTATCATTTTTTAATATAATATTTTTATTTTATTTCAGAGCATGATTAAAAGAAGCCTCTCAGACCATTGAAGGAGATACGATCGAGGGAGAGATCAATCTATTTCCTCGCCATTGGCATAACTCCCTGGCGTTGTTTCTGGTCGCCCAAATCGAAAATTTAATCTTTAGAGAGATTGATGGAGTGAGGTCAACTTTAACTGGCCATACTGTACGGAAGAGGAGCGGATTCTTGTGGAGGTGAATACGAAGAAAGCTACTACTCCATTTCCACCAAAGGATCGCAGCGCCAGCAGCAGTAGTGAAAGTGGAAAAATACTCACCTTGAAGCAGACTTGCCCGTCTGCAGAAATAACTGCTCCACAAAAACGTAAAACGAGCACCGATTTAAATTCAAATTTAAATGGATGTGAATGGATTGTCCTTTAGTTGTGCAAGCTACATTTGATTGCTTCTCAATGAGGAAGCTTCGCGTGATCAGGCTTGAAAGCGAGTTTTCGCTCCAACTTTTGTAAAATAATTTGATAAATAACAAACTTCTAAATTATATCTCAAATTTCGTCAAACGTCGATACAAGTGTGTGTTTGTCTGTACAACGTTCACAGGGTACTATTTCAAAATCGCATCCATATCATCTCTCTGGAGCGGTGCGGGTCACTGCGCACTCATGCTTCTGTTTGTAAATATGTACATATTGTTGTTAGTCCTAATTTAATTGTTGTATATAAATCTGTTGTCTTGTTGTATATATATTTAATTGTTGTTGTTGTATCTTGTATTCATCTGCTAAAACTTGCTATTATTATCTTTATGTTAAATTAAATTCTTACTATCTGTATCAATCTACCTCGGGGCTGTATGGGGTTTATACCCCACGGTCCCAATAATAAACTAATTAAATAATCAAAAATAATCAACTGCATTCATTGTGAACTGGAATGAGGATAAATACTAAACAATTTATTGTGTAATTACCATTGAAAAAACAATAATTCTTTTCCGTTTATTTTATTTTTTTTAATTCAAAATAAAACATGTTTTGTACGCTTTTTGTATGGTTGAAACTGTAAATGTAACATTGATGATATAATGATGAGCCTATGAGCTTTCGTGAAAAATAATTTTCTCAGCCAAAGATACGATGTACGTCTTTCCTGTATATATTAATTGTTCAATAATAAAAAATTATAATTTAAATCAATTCTGAATTGATTATTATTTTTTCCCTTTCCTGAAATTTAACATAATTTCTCTCGGACTTCACTTAGCGTTAAAAGACATCGGCGATAAATTATAAAATGACGTTTTATAGCCCAAAAATTACGAGTACTCAACGATTTACATTCATTTTTTGACTTTGAACGGGTAAAGAAAACCTTGATAAAAAAGAAAGATACAGAATTGAGACGAGGTAGGTCATTGGAGATTATTAAATGTAAACAAATTGCCGTTTTTTAAGACGATATATACTAGCTCCCAAAAAAACTTAACAATTTTCATTCCATTAGAATATAAACATGATTTTTTGTTCATTATTTGTACCAAAAAATATCTATGATTTATTTTACGATAATAATAAAATATTTTTACACTGTTTTATAAGACAGTCAACTATAGATATAAAAATAAAGAAAACAATATAATTATCAAAATGAAACACATTTCACAAGTATAAAAATACAAACATAGCTCATATAGAAAAAAATACATTCTTTTAACATACATCGTAAAAATATATAATCTATATATGTCATAATAAATAATTATAAATATTTATATATTTTAATTCATCAGTCGATAGTTTTTAAAAATTAAACATCAATAAAGTATATTCTTACGTAGAAATATGTACTTAACGAAGATAGCTCGAGACTAAAAAAATAATAATAATAATAATAATGGAGGGATGAAAGAAAGAAGAAAAGTTGGCGTTGCGATTGGACGGTCGCAACGCCAACCCCTCGGTGCGACTCTTCTCTATTCTGATTGGCGGCGGGGGAGGTGGAAACGGGCGCGGGGCTTTTCTTCACTCTTTCCTGGGCGTCAGTCGAAGCTCCAATGGTCTCGACGGGGCGGATATCAAGCGGAGCTTTATCTTCACCCTGTCCTTGTTGAGTACGTCGATTTGGTATTTCTTTAGAAGCTGTTTTACGAGAAAAAAAAAGCCAACAACAAAGATTATAGCAAATAATTTTCCGAATCGATCCACTCGAATCATCGTAATATTTTTTTACCGCAGCCGTGGTGATGGCGATCTGGGCGTCGGCGAGCTTGCGGCCGATGCAGCTCCTCACGCCCATGGAGAAGGGCAGCGACATGTTGGCGCAGAGCACCCCGTTGAATTCGCCCTTGTCGTTGCGCAGCCAGCGGCGCGGCAGAAACTCGCTCGCCCGCTCGAAGTTGCCCTCGTCCCGGCTGCTCGTGTACAACGAGATGACGATGAGCTCCTGCGAGATATATATGAATTCGCGAGTCAGTAAGGGGAAAGAAGGACAATTGTATCGAGCGATTTTCTCGTTTTTGGGGGTAATGAAAATGTGTCGTGGGTCTAAAAAAACGCCCCTAGAACTGGATTTATGAGGACGATTGCAATTCAATTTGAGTCGGTGTATTCATTTTTCACAAAAATAAAAACATCCGAATTTTTTCTCAGCAACCACCGTTATTTAGAGTTTATTATTGAACAAAAGGTCCAGTCATTTTTTATTCATTACATTGTAATGAGAATTTGCCTTAGAGTAAATATCCCATTTAAGGGCCAACAGGGGGCTTAATTATTTTTCATTTTTCAATTACAGTACTAGGCTGTAAAAGTGAAAAAAATGTTTTTTTTAAGAACACACATGATAACCCTTTTCAAAACCCTATTTGAAAGTATTTTGCCCAGTTACATACTTAGAAACAGTTAAGTACAATAATAATGAGGGTATTGGTCCTCAACGCAAGCTATACGCATATCTAAGCTACCTGTCGTAGAAATCCAAGAGTAAGCATTAATCGATGGTACCCCAATTGGTTTCATTTTGTACGATAGCCAATTGGCCATGGTCGCAACCAAAAGCTAGCCATAAGATGAACTGTAGCTACTTGTACATATAGCAAAGTGAAATTAATTTATGGAAAATGATAAAAAATGAATACTAAATTCTAGATATTTGTACACACAAGTAGCTACAGTTCATCTTATGGCTAGCTTTTGGTTGCGACCATGGCCAATTGGCTTTCGAACAAAATGAAACCACATGAGCTACGATAGATTAATGCTTGCTCTTGGTTTTCTACGACAGGTAGCTTAGATATGCGTATAGCTTGCGTTGAGGGTCAATACCCTCATTATTAACTGTTTTTAAGTATCTAACTGGACAAAATACTTTCAAATAGGCGATTGAAAAGGGTTATCGTGTGTGTTCTTGAAAAAAACATTTTTTTTCACTTTTACAGCCTAGTACTGTAATTGAAAAATGAAAAATAATTAAGCCCCCTGTTAGCCCTAATGTTGAAAATATCATGTTTTTTAAACAGGCTTCATCTTATACAATTATTTGGACGTTAACGTTTGCAGAAGTCGTAGTAGTAGTAGATTTATTGGCATTTAAAAACTTTTACACAGCCATACCACTTGCAGGTTTACAGAAAAAAGGTACTCGCCATCTAGTGGCGGCGACTCGAAGCAGTATTATCGTTCGTACACTTCAAGTAGTCGTAAAGCGATATAACGTTTTTTCAAGTAGTTGAATCGTCATCCTCGATTCCTTCAAAATGTACTCGATACTTTTAAGACGATAAATCGTCGACAGAAAAAAAATAACCGACACATTTTCAAACGCTTCAAACCGATCGTTTCGATAATACTCACGCCCTTGTAGGCCGGGTAGCCGGACAGCAGAGTGTCCTGGGTGAGTATTCTGGTGAGGAAGGGCGCGATCGGATAGAGCCGCATGGACTCGCGTATGGCGCCCTTGAGCAGCGGCTGGGCCAGTATCTCTCGCGTCTCCAGGCCCCTCGTGAGCTCGTGCAGCTCCTCCTGGACCTCGGGATTGGCCGCGAGCGACAGCAGCAGCCACTGCATTGCGTAGGCCGTCTGCGCGATCCAACATACACACACACACACGGTCGTTAATTTCCATAAAAAAAAAGGAAAAAGGAAAATAGATCGAAAATCGACTCACGGTATCACCGGCTGCGAAAATCAGATCGATGACGATCCTGTTGAGCATCTCGCCTCGCACGCCGCTGTCCATCATGCGCCTCAGCAGTCCGTCGGTCTCGGGGCATCTGGCCATCTCGTCGACGATCCGCTCGACCGTCTCGAACGAGTAATCCGTCTTGGCGACGAAGCCGCGCCAGGCCGGCAGGCCGAGTCGCTGGGCCCAGGTTGCGGGCAGCCGGGCCAGCACCACCGAGTGCTCGAACATGCCGCTGAGGCAGCGCGACAGCCGGCCCAGCTCGCTGGAGACGCGCGGCCGATAGGCCGACCAGGGCGTGCCCATCAGGGTGGCCAGCAGCACCTCGATCGACCACTGATAGAGCCGATGCTCGAGATCGGGCACGCAGCGCGGATCCTCGTAGGCGCGCCAAGAGTCGAGGAGGCCGCGGGCCGTCTCCTCGCAGGGCCGGCTCATGTGGCCCAGCGAGTCCGGGGCCAGCAGCAGCTTGTTCATCACTCGCCGGTAATCGAGCCACTCTTGGCCTTCCCTGCGTGAGTGTGCGAGCGAGGGAAAGAGAAAAAGAAAAGAAATTATATTCAAAGAATGTGTGAGAGAGAGAGAGAGAAAGAGAGAGACTGCAGTAAAATTGGATTTATCTGGTTTACGAGCTCGTATACGCGGCGGGATCTCTCGCACGCACACAACTCTCGACTCGACTCCAACACAGAGAGAGAGAGATACAAATTTTCTCTAACGACGGGGGAGATTATGCTCCGGTCTCTCTGTAATCTCAATTAAAAAATAATTAATTTCCACCCCTCGCACGGCTCGAGCGTATAACGCGAGATGATAAATCGTTGTCGCGAGCAAAAAAAAAAAAAAATATTATACCGCCGCTGCCGAGCGTGTGCGCGCACGCGTTCGTGACGGACGCGCCGCGATGACGATACATAATTTTTTATCTTTTTTTTGCTTCGCGTGTGTATTTGCAAAGATGTAGAAAACGAGGGAAAATGCTAGTTGATACGGACGCAGTCTTTTTTTTAAGAGAGAGAGCAAAGTCGAATGTTAATTGTAGAATTATTTGGAAAAATGTTCGATCGCTGTTGGGCGAGCGTGTATAATGTCGCGAAGAAGCTTTGGGTGAGCTTTGGGCGAGCTTCTGACGTTTTCTGTCACGTTCATGGCCTTCAAGAAATTCAAGAACACAGCTTTTTCATCAGCATCAAATATTTGATTCTTTCGTGACTCATAAATTTATCAGACTTTAATGAACATTATAGAGCTGGCTTTATAAAAAAGCTTCCTAAATTGTTCTTCATTAAAACTCCGGATTGAACTTGATAAGATTTTGGCTTTTTTGTTTCTCTGCGTTCGCAAGCTCTTACAGTGCTCAAATACTTTAGGAACATATTTTCTTCTAAATTTAATAATTTCTTGATGAAAGATATGATATGTGATACTCTTTCTCAAAGTAACTCAAACTACATCTTTAAAATTTTTGTCAAATATATCATAAACCAAGAATTTAGTGAAATGGCCATATTTAGGTAAGACAAGGGCAAACTAATTCTTTCGAAATAGCAGAGTTTCTTCACGACACGACGAAGAACAAAAATAGTTTTCGAACCCTCGAATTCGACGGGGAATCCACCATATACGCATGCCTCTTCCGAGTGAATGAACCGAGTATATACATTTGTGCGCGCGACTTGTGTGCCGTAATGATTATATATATACATGGCTATAGAGAGCGCATATATATATAGGTATGCGCGCATTCTCTGCGGAGTTTATTTATTCTGTATACGTAGCTAGAACCGAGCCACAGAACACATTAATGAGAGATGAATCGGGCCCGATTGATGCGCCGCTCGCCATGAGCTTGACTGACCGAGAGAGCCAAGCAGAAAGAGAGAGAGAGAGAAAAAAATAAGTGCAAGTTGCAGCGTATTTAGATATATGGGCAAATCCCGTGATCGTATATTTGTAATAAAGAAAAATTATAATGAAATGAACTTTTTGTTGAGATTAAACATCTAATTGGACAAAAATTTTAATTTACTTAAATTGTTTTTATGAATCGTTTTAAAAAAGCCGTTCATAGGATTTATCACACTTAAAATGGTCTCGTAGTTTTGCTGCGTAAAATTTTTATTTAGATGCACGCTACGAAGTTGCAAACTCGTTAAAAAATACATTAAATCAAACGCGTTCATTCAGCGCGAAACATCATCGCTCGTAATCGTAATTCTCGTCGTTTCTCGAAAAACACGTGCACTTCGTACGAGCTCGCATTAAAATTAAAATTAAAGATCAATAGTTCCGCATTAATTGCGCTGCAATGTATACAAGCAAGTAAGTATACAAGTAGGGTACGGCACCGCACGTGTACGATTAATTTTAACTTTAAAGAGAGAGATTAATTGTATCGGAAAAACAGTCACGTGGGGGACTCGCCCATATATTGCGAAACGTGCGCACGACGATGCACTCGATTATATTCGTCGCTCGTATCGTACATGTCTTTGACACGAGTTCAATGTAAGGCGGGGGATAACCATGAGCATCGGCGCGATTCGCGATCTTCGATGCATGTATGTTTTTTTTTTTTTTTTTCGTTGCATTATACACGCTCGCAAGCTCGAGGGCAGCTCGTGAAAAGATATCCGCGCGGCATTGATTAATTTTCACTCGTGACGACCACGGCGTGTGCTTCGATCGTATGCAACTCTCTTTCTTAAACACACACGCGCGAATATATAAAATAATATAAATATGTTTTTTTGTTTTGTTTTTATCGGTCTCTCACATGAACAACAGTCCGCGCTTGCGTCCCCTCAGCTGGTTGTAGAGCGACCAGGCCTCGGGCAAAAAGTGCTGGGGCGTCGCGCCCTCCAGTCGAAACACCTCCCTGATGTCGTCGGAGCCCGCGACGAACAACGCCTGGGTCGGTCCCACTCTCCCCCGAAAGCACGAGCCGTATCGCTTGTGTCGCTTGTCCGCGTACTCGTGCAGATACTTGCCGCCTCCCGAGGCCAGGATCGAGGCCAGCGGTCCGATCCAGGGTGGACCGCGCAAGTCCGGCATCTCCGCTGCGGCTACTGCTGGTGAAGACGACGATGACGACGACGACGTGGATTTGCTCGGAAGCCCATACTGTCCCGTGGTGGTGGTGGTGGTCGTGGCTCGCTGCTGCTGTATCGCCGACAAGCAGAGCCTCGAGATGCGCTTCATCGTGTTCAGCGAGTAGTTTCACGAGCACCCGAGGCCGATGCTGCTACTGCTGCTGCTGCTGCTCTGCGGCTCTCACGACTCCGGCTCCGGCTGATTCTCACTGCAAAGTGCACAGCACGATTTTCTCGTGTTATAAACTTTATATTACGTTGTATATACATATATAATACACGCGGGCGCGTGCGCGCGATAGCCGATAATCTTTTTTTTTTTTCGACCGAACGCGAGTACAACGAATGATATAGACGATCGAGAGGGAGGGAGGGAGAGATCGCGGAGACGAGCGACTAAAGTCCGCGAGCGAGTCTTATTTAATAGACGCTATACATAGTAAATATGTATCTATATACGCGACTGCCAAGTGTTATTGTTGGGAAATTAGTACTCGATGTACGATACGATACGTACTATATAACATTGTTGTTATCGAGCATCGCGCCCATGGTATCGCATTGCGAATATTATTCAGTGCCAGACGAGCGGATGAAAGAGAGAGAGAAATAAAGATTCGCTCGCGTCTTCGTCTGACGCAAAGGACACCGCTATTACCAAAATTTATGTATAATTTATTTACAAGAGAGCGAGAGAGAGAGAGAGAGAGAGAGAGAGAAAAGTTATCATTTATATAGATGTATGTGCGTGTGTGTGTGTGTGTGTGTGTGTGTGTGTGTGTGTGTGTGTGTGTGTGTGTAAATCGGCCCGATTTCGTTGGCTGGCGCGTAAACAAAATTGTTGATCGATTCTCAGCTGCAGCGCGCTTCGTTATTCACCTAACGAGATCTGTGCTGCTGCTGTTTCGCATTCGTATATATGGGTGATTTTCGTAATTTTCATACAAGTTATCATATTTAGTTATCATATTAAGTTATCATGAAGTTACTATAAAAAGTTATCATATTGCTTTTCATTTATACAATTATTTTGACTTAGCCACTTGCAGATTTGCAGGTATCGCGGTAATCGACATCTAGCGGCGGAGACTGAAAGTAGTGTACCACCACATTCAAAGTGGTCGAAAATATCGCGAACGGTTAAATTGTCGTTTTCAATTCGTTCAAATCGTGATTATTATTTGTAACGTAATTTTAGGAGCAGTCGGGAACTCGATATTTTTTTTTTTTTTTCAAAATTAGCGACTTGTACTTGAATTGGACGAGTTTTCAAAAAAAAGGGCGGCACCTTTTATAAGAATAATCCAATATTGCAAAGAAGAAAAAGTAGATACGAGCTGCGTAAACTCTACGTAAGCTCTGCTTTGAATGAAAAAAAAAATATTCGATGACACATCGACAAGTTGCAATAGTTGCTGAAAAATCACCCATGTATATGCACTATATTAAATATTTCGTTGGACGTGCGTTCGTGCGAATATGTAAGTCGAACGTATATAGCCCCGGCCAGCGCGAGCTGATAGCGAGAGCTGCGTCTCGTAGTACACATGCTTGCATGCACATTGGCATGCACCGAAAAATTATATACGTATCAGCGATCGTCAAGGAAATGTTAATTATTTCGTGTGAATCGAGCAATTTTTTCATTTAAAAATGTCGATGAAAGAAAAAAATATACATTATCCAAAAGTTCATGCGTACTTATGTATATTTTATTGACGTAAATTCGATAGAGAAAGAGAGAGAAAAAGGAAAACAGGAAGAAGTGGTTAATTTTCGTTTTAATCTTGGCGTGTACGCTATTATGCGTTCATGTTTAAATACGCGCGCGCGAGCTCTCTCGGATTTCGGACGCGCGCGAATTTATCAATGATAATGTCAGAGAGAAACCAATACGTATTTAGCGATAATTGCGTATATTTTCATCTCGGGTTGCAATATGAGAGAGATCGTAAAGTCGGAAAAGCCGAAGAAACGCCGAGGGAAGGAGTAAAAAATTCAAGTATCTCGCACGCCGAGACGATATACACGTCCGCCGATATAATATTCGCATTTTCGGTTTCTTTAATATAAAATACAGCATTACATTCGTATCCTGATGTGTGTGTGTTCGTGACTCTTGGAATCAGAAATATGCATTTAATTAGCCCGAAGTTGAAGAAGAAGAGAGAAAAAAAAAATACATACATATTTTTCGAGCAAAAAGCGTACACGCGCGCGTGAGCTCGAAATTCGCTGATCGCATCGATAATTGGGCATAATAATATCACGCGTGATTTTTTTCCTCGTCTCTCTCTTACACGGCACGCACGAAACGACACAGGACACACATCTTCGTATTTCGCGCGTTCGCGTAAAAAAAGGAATATACATCAATAGGTGTGTAAGTCGAATTTCGTATAATACGATATATATATGTGAAATTGTGCCGGCTCAGCTCTCTCGAGTGCGCGCGCGCCCGGAGACAGAGTCTCGAGTGGCGAATTGAATTTTTCACACGACAAATCGAGCAGAGCATTCCGATTATTATGATTCGGCGGATTTTTATTTAGAAGAAATAATAACGAGATGAAGGATAAGAGAAAGAAGAAGAAGAAGAAGAAATAATTAAGCGATTAATCGATTTTAAAATTAGACTGAAATATGCGCGTATCTCTATATTCTTCTTTTTTTTTTTGTATTAATTCATCGCTAATCATCGGCTTTGATAATTAATATGGTCGGCGATGATGATTGAGAAATTCCGAGCGCATAATTAAAAGAAGACGATTCGAGAAAAAAAAGAGAGGAAGAGAGAGAACAAAAAAGTAAATAAGATTAACAAAGTTCGGAATTAAATTTAATTACTTAACGATGAAAAAAGTTATATGTGCCGGGCATACAACGTAATAATGCGGATACATGCACGTCGCGAGCAACGATAAGCTAGTTCGCGGCGCGCTCGCGAAGTATAGTTCCTTTTCGCGCGAATATAGTATATAGCTCGCCCGGCGCGCGGAAGATTATCTCTCGTCTCGCGACTCGGAAATTATTATTGAGTAACTTGCTGCGCGCGCGGCTGTTAAAGCAGCGGCAGTGGCATTATAAATATTATCGAAATGAAAAAAAAAAAAAAATTAATTCAGACTTCCGCGTGCTGCGCGCAAATTTCGGTGCGCCTCGCGCGCGTGTATACGTGATTCGCGGAACGCGCGCCCGTCGCACCGACCGATCTTTTTTCGTCAAATGCGTAAAATGATAAATCGATCAACATATTCACCTGAGATTTTGAGAGCAAATCTCGTACGAACGAGGCAGCAAAATCACTCAGTCGAACTCGCACAACAACAACAACGACAACGGCAACAACACTCGTGTGGCACTGATCGCGTCAAATGCGATCGAGACGAGACACCGGTACGCTTTGGCATCGTTTATTTTGGTTTTCATCGTTGTATCGGCGTTGTTCTCCTCGGCACAGAGTACGGTGTGGCACACGCGAAACTTTCTGCATTTTCATTTAAATAAGGAGCAAAAAAAAAAATTTAGAGAGAGAGAGAGAGAGAGAGAGAGAGAGAGAGAGAGTGGCAATGGATCGAGTCCGTCGCACCGGAACACCTCGGCGCGAGAGAAGGTCACAGGTCGGATCGGCGCGGGACAATTTCAAATGACGTTATTTCATCCGCCAAAACTTTTTGCTTCTATAAACTCTNGGGGGGGGGGGGGGGATCGCTCGTATCCCGCGGGGCACGCGAACGACGATACACATGCACAAATGGGACGATAACGAGGATCGGGCACGCACACACGTTTTACTACATTATATATTTTATCTCGTGCATACACTTGGAGAGTAGTGATCGGACGCGCGCACGGACGAAGAGTGTATATGAAGCGCGCCTCGCGATCTGTGTAACTCGCGAAAGAGGCGGCCACCGATATCTCGCCCGCGCGCGCCGCGCGAGAGTTAAAAAAGAGTAGTAGTAGTAGTAGTTGTTGCATGTATATAGGTATATAGCGGCAGTAGCTGCTAAGCGGCAACAGTATTATACAGAGGCAGGGGGATGCCAATCTGCTGCTGCTTGCAGGTGGCCGTGGAGGGGGTCTTGCGCATTCATAATATACATATATACACGCACATTTTAATACACAAGTGCATCGTCTCTCTCTCGTTTTCTTTCTCTCTCTCTCTCTCTCTCTATCTTCGCATGCTCGAATGCACATGCACAAGTGGATGTATAAATATTTTTTATCCGCAGCGAAAGAGAGAGAGAGAGAGAGAGAGAGAGAAATGCAGCAGAGAGTGCACATTTAGATATGTATGTATATAACAAGTAGTATACCCCCTCCGAAACATCATGCATTATATCTATATGCACTCTGCGCTGGGTATATGCTTTGCTTTAACTGTGTTTCTCTCTCTCTGTGTATGTGTGTGTGTGTGTGTGTGTACTTTTGCTCCCACGCAACGTTTTTTTTTCCAAATTTTTTTTATTCAATTCTCTACAACACACAAACACTCGTATACGCAAACGCACAAAAAAAAAGACGTACAACGTCGTGTAACGCTGCATAACAGTCAACGGGGCATGTAGCATAACGAGGCGCGCTCCGACGAGGACTATGTGGCGCAGGAGTCTATGTGTGCATATATCCGTGTGTGTATGTGTGTGAGAGAGACAAGTATGGCAGACCCGAGACGCGGCGCACTATAGGCGACGACACACATTATTAGATTAGAATTTTTTTTTTCCCGCACAAAACCGCGAAAATCACTTGGCGCGCGTATATACGTGTGAAGCGCCAGGTATCCCACAAAAAAAGTCTCGTGGTGACTCATGTGTGCGTGCGTGTGTGTGTGTGTGTGCGTAAGATATATGCATTTACGTAAGCGTGTGAGTGTGTGAGCTCGAGTGTGGGGCATCGCGCAAAGCTCACGGTCAGGGTCGTTACCTCTCTGCCTGTGTAAGCGAGCGCCGCCGCCGCCGCCCGTTTGTGTGCACCGTGAAACGAGAGTGAGAGAGCATTGCACCTCTCGACTCTCTCTCTCTCTCTCTCTCTCTCTCTCTCTCTTTCTCTCTCGCTATTAACGCGCAGCGAGTGCAACACACACACACGCACGCACAGGCCCGTACAAACGCACTCACGAAAACTCACTGATTCCGCAGCTACAGCCTCGGCCTGATCCGTGTGTGTTTATTATTATATATATTACGCCGTGCATCTTTTTCTCTCTTCCTCTTTCTCTCTCTTCTTCGCGATCGCTACTCGTAATATGTATATTATGTACAGCTACTATAACGATACACGCACACGCTTCGCATCTGTGTGTGTATACGTGCGTGCGTGGGTGCGTACTGCATGCCGAACCTGACCGGGTGCGAGGTCCGCACGCACACGAGCGCGTAGATCGACTGCGGCGTGTTTATATTATGCGCGTATATATCGTTTAGGCCAACGAGCATCGGCAAAACTGCATAATGTGCAGCAGCAGCGGTGTGGTGTGGTGTAGTGTGGTG